CGGAACTTGCGGTTAGTCAGCCCTGTTGATGCCTCACCATGCCGAGACTGATGGAATCTAGCAATATCTGGTGTCGGGGACTTTGTTGGATGTGGATGCCACCAACTCTCTGTCATTGAGCCGCAAGGATATCGCGGTGATCAGTTGCGACCCATCCGCCTATCCCGGGAACTTGGATGCCAGCTCCACGCTAGGCAACGTCCTCACCGCACAGCAGCAGGCTCTCGCTGTCATCTTATATAGTGGCACCTCACTGCTCTGCAACTATACGACGGATGAACCATCCGCCAACCGCTACATCAACGTCTTTACGCTCGTGAATCCGACTTTGAATCGGCAAGTCCAGTCCCAACTCGAAGCTCCAGGGAACGGAACGACGTATATCGGCACCAACATGTCGTATCTGGGGCCCACCACAACGACCCAGGACCAGACCGACTCGTCCGGGAGTCCGAACACGGGTATGCCGGTTCTCATCTGCCGCGGTAGCATGTGCTAATCTGCCACAGCGATGATCATTCTGTATAGTATTACAGGCATTATCACTGCCCTGTTTTTAGCCATTATCATTACCGGTGCGGTGCGTGCGCACCGCCATCCGGAGCGCTATGGGCCTCGGTATACCGCGGGACGACCGCGACAAAGTCGAGCGCGAGGGATAGCGCGAGCCATGTTAGATACGATCCCAATCGTCAAATTCGGGGACAACAACAACCAACCCGACGGTAAGACGGTTGGCCCCAAGGGGGATGTTGAGATGGGTTCGGGGTTGGAGGTGCCGACCAATGAATTGGAGGAACGAGATGTGACCACGACTGCGGAGGTCACTTCCCCACACCAGCCACAGACGGAGGCTCCCCCGACTGAATCGCATGAAGAGAAGCCCAGCGATGCTCCTGCGGCGGAGACGACGACGGATCACCCGAACTTCTCGTGCCCTATTTGCACGGACGACTTTGTCAAGGGGCAGGATTTGCGCGTGCTGCCGTGTAACCATCAATTCCACCCCGAGTGTATTGACCCGTGGCTGGTGAATGTTTCTGGCACATGTCCTCTCTGGTGAGTATTCTATCGAACTTATCTACATGATATACACATTTACTAACTTCTGCAGCCGCATTGATCTCAACCCCCCACAGCAAGAAGGCGAGGAGGAGCAAGATCTGGGTGATGGTCAGCCAGAGACGGCCGAAGGAGCCGCCGAGGCAACGACTGAGAGTGGCCATGGCCGCCACCGTCGCATTAGCAACTACCTGCACGGTACGTTGAATGCGCGCCGCATGCGCGATGCCAGCGTGGAAGAGCGCCTCGCGGCGCTGCGGAGCGTGCGGGAAGAGGCCAACCGAGAGGAAGCGGCCGACGAAGCGGATGAGCAGCGAATGCGGCGACGCAGTCGACTGACGACGCGACTGCGCGAGAAGTTCCGGGTGCGCACGCGGGCGCATGGAGAGGCGGTCGAATCGTCATCATCGAATGACACGCCGCCTGCTTGATTCCTCTCCTGAATTGTTTTCCCCTTCTTCATCTGCATTACTTATTTCTACGTGCATGCTGGCGTGATTCGGAGCATTGAGTGTTCATGTGCTATATTGAAGATGAGAGATGGGGACGGTTATGTATGAAGCTGATGGAATGGGATGTGATATGATCGGCCTGGCTGCCGGTGACCTGGGATATATGGGTTTATGATTGACATGATTGATTGGATTGCTGATGGGGAAACTATCACATCATGATGTTTGTTTATATGGCGATATTGGCGATACATGGCGTTTAGAAGTGATGGGAATTTTTGCACGGGGGGAAAATTGTGTATATAGGACCGATGGTTTACCTGGAAATGACCAGTGAACAGGCACATATCATACACCGAAGCAATGTGTAAAAGTATCCTATGTAGCAGCGATATACCTACTACATTAGGACAAAGAATCCGACTGTTCTAGTATGGGTCTAGAATTGATAAATTAGTAAGTATTCGCGCGAGCTCTAGTGAGGTAGCCTAGAGCAGACAAACTAGTACGTAGTTAGAAGACCAAGCGACCTCGGAATCTCATGCCAAAGGCATGCCAATTGCATACATTACGAATTATTTAGTCATGTAAAGTAGTACTTTTCCAGTGACGAAATGCGAGGATCCCAATTTCACACAACAAGTTAGTTAAAAAGCACGAAATGCAAATCGGAACCCGGAATCCGGCGAGGCTCGTAGAGGAGCTGACCCGATTGCACCCCGTGGGGTAAGCGATCATCCTTTTTTGTCTTACTTCTTGTTTTTGTGTCTTGCAGGGTGGAATGCTTTTCCGGCTCTTTTTCTTTCCTCCTTGAAGATTGGAGTACTAGAGTGGATAATAGATATCTGGATATATCCTCATCCATTGAGACTATACTACTGTGATAAGTTCTGTCATTGTGAACAGATTATCCTGGAGTAAGAAAAAAAAAAAAGGACAAGACGGTCGGGGCGGGGAAAAAAGAACCTAGAACTTTGCTATTATTGTTAGTCAGAAAAAGTGAGTGATTTTGGCTGAATGCGGCTGGCGTCGGGCTGTAGGTATGAGTAACAGTAGATTGTGATTGGTGGTTAATGCCGCGTTTTAAAACAGTGTCTATTTAAGTAAGTACCTTTAGGGATGTGATGGTGGATGGAATTACTCAAGTGGGAAGTATTATACTATTACTGACTGTCTTGGTACGATCTCGTAGCAGGAAAATGAAGAAGAATAATCGGAGAGATGAGGGATATTTGTATGCTTTCATACTAGTACTTTCATACTTAGTTTGTAGACAGCCTAAGTGGATCTGTCATATGATGATGTCAGGCCAGCTCGGGCAATTCTGTCCGCCAAACATCTAATCCTTTGCTAATGTCGATAACTGCAGTATAGCTGGAATGTATCTTCAATGATAGACAAAACAGATAGTAGACAGATAGAGGTCGAGATAATGCTTCAAATATCTGATTATTTTGCAGTCATGTGAATGCGTCATCATCATTATCATCTGCTCAACTCATCGGGCCAGCAACTCTGCCACATCCTCGGCTCATTCTCCAACCCTCAACTTTTGTCTCGGTCTCAAAGATCAATAACATTCTCAGACTATATGTACCCCGTACTCCCTCCTCCGAACCTATCCCCGATCGTGTCCATTTCTACTCCGTCCCGTCCTTTTCTTTTTTCCTTGTCCTGCATCTGCCCTGCCCCGGTGTATCCATCGGGATTTATCTGTTTCGGTCAAGTTCACTTTATTGGCGCCGGTGAACGCAAGCAGCAGTGATTGAGGGAATCAGGTGGTGTGACCTCTTCTCGACCTGACAATACATCATGTCGCCCCTTTCCTCTTCTTCTTCACCATCTTCTTCTCTTTCCCTTACTTCTTCATCCTCTCCATCCTCTTCCTCCATTGCTACCTCTACTTCTACCGCTCGCTCCCGTCTTGCTTCTCTCTCCTCCCACATCATGGGCTCTACCACCCCCTCCGTCTTTTCCACCGCCGTCGTGCCCGCCGCGCCAGAAGATGCTCTCTTCGGTCTGGCTCAGGCTTTTCGCCAGGATCCCTCCGACAAGAAGGTCGATCTAGTTATTGGCGCGTATCGCGACGACAATGCCAAACCCTGGATCCTGCCTGTCGTCAAGAAGGTACTTTCGCTACCCCTCAATTCCCCACCTGCACATCATTATCTCCCTCCATCCCCGCAGCATCTCAACTAACCAACTCCGACAGGCTGACGAGCTCGTTCGCAATGACCCCGCCCTCAATCACGAATACCTCCCCATCAAAGGTCTCGCCGACTACACCACCGCCGCCCAGAAGTTGATGATTGGCGCCGACAGCCCTGCCATTCGCGAGAACCGCGTAAGCCTCCCCCCCCCCCCCCCCCCCATCCCTTCTGTGATTCTATCCATCTAACAATCTTCTAGGTATGCACCTTCCAAACCATCTCTGGCACCGGTGCCGTGCACCTGGGCGCTCTCTTCCTCTCCAAATTCCACCCCTCCAACCCTAAGCCCACCGTCTACCTCTCCAACCCAACCTGGGCCAACCACAACCAAATCTTCACCAACGTCAACCTCTCCCTTGCCAACTACCCCTACTTCGACCCGCAAACCAAGGGTCTCAACTTCTCTGGCATGCTCTCCGCCCTGCGCGACGCTCCCACCGGCTCCATCATCCTCCTGCACGTCTGCGCCCACAACCCCACCGGCGTCGACCTGACCCAAGACCAATGGAAGGAGGTTGCCGTCATCATGCGCGAGCGCAACCACTTCCCCTTCTTCGACTGCGCCTATCAGGGTTTCGCCTCGGGTGATCTCGCCCGCGACTCCTGGGCCGTGCGCTACTTCGTCGAGCAGGGCTTCGAGCTGTGCGTCGCGCAATCCTTCGCCAAGAACTTTGGTCTGTATGGTCAGCGCACGGGCGCCTTCCATTTCGTCTCGGCCCCAGGTGCCGAGGCCACCCAGGCGAATGCGCATATCGCGTCGCAGCTCGCCATTCTGCAGCGCAGTGAGATCAGTAACCCGCCGGCGTATGGTGCGCGCATTGCCAGCCGGGTGTTGAACGATGAGGGTCTGTTCCAGGAGTGGGAGGAGGATCTGAAGACGATGAGTGGTCGCATTGCGGAGATGCGCAAGGGATTGAGGGAGCTATTGGAGAAGAAGGGCACGCCGGGCACTTGGAACCACATTACAGATCAGATTGGCATGTTCAGTTTCACCGGGTTGACTGAGACGCAAGTAAAGGTGTTGAAGGAGAAGTGGCATGTCTATATGGTATGCTCCCCCTCTTCCTGATTACTATGTGGGGTATATATACTAACAAAGGACACAGACCAAGAACGGCCGTATCTCCATGGCGGGCTTGAACACACATAACCTGGACTACTTTGCCGAAGCAGTGGACAGCGTAGTGCGGGAGACTTCATAATATACCACAGGTAGTACACGATGGATATGGACTGGATATATGTAAGGTACAACAGCTAGACTGGTAGAACAAACCCAATACAAAATATGAACAACACAACCTGAACCATAAAATAAATATCAACTAAAAAACCAAATCCCAAACAACCAACCACGTACACAACCCCACCGTCCCCCAAAACACCGCCTGCGCCGTACTCCGTCTCTCCGTCGCCCGCTTCAACTCCTTATTCCCTTGACCAATATTCGCCTCAGTATTACTCGCATCCGTCACCAGCTGCGAGATATATTCCTCTTGGGTAGATAAATGCGACACGAGAGTTTGCTGGAGAGAGGAGATCTCGAGGAGGGATTTTTCTGCGTTCCTACACACATATTCCCACAGTCAATCATTAGCAATCGTTATCATAATCATCACCATAACCACAAAATATCCCCTTGGGGAATATAACATAACATAGAAGATAAGGGATAAGGGATAAGGGTATATCATACTGAACCTTCCCCACCACATCCTCAAAATACCTCACCAAGGAATCATTCTCCTCCTCGAACAGTTGCAATTGCTGCGGTGTTAACTGTTTCTCGATCTCTTTTACCTCGGTCTCGTCCATCTTCACCACATCCCCAATACCAATACCAGTAGTATCCCCCCTCCACTCCCCATCCACCCTTCCCCACCCAACACCACCACCACCAGCAGCAGAGGTATTATTAGTACCAGATTTATAAAGCACACTCCTCTCCCTCTCCCTCACCCTCTCAATCCTCTTCTCAACCATATCCCTTTGCTCATTAACCACCTTCCCCAGCTTCAGATTCAGATAGAATAGCACGCTTTCCCTCACCCCCTTTAACACCTTTTCTTTCTCCTCCTCAACCACCTGTTCTTTATCCTTCCCTTCATGACCATCCCCATTGCTACTGGTGAGTGTAGCTCCCCCCGCCCACTTCGCCAGAAACCCCTTCCCGAATCTCTGTGCTATGCTCCGCGAAACTGTCTCCTGGCGGAGATTTTCTGCTGCGCTGAGGGTAGTTATTGATGTGGAGAGGTTGGAGAGGAGGGTTGAGGTCGTGGTGGTTATGGTGTCGCGGGCGGAGTCGTCTAGTATTTCGGTTTGTTTGGGTTGGGTGGTGGTGGTGGTGGTGCTGGTGATTGTTGGTTTTGTATTGGTGAGGGAGAGATACGAGGGGCGGATGGTTTGGAGGTAGGATAGTAGGGATGTTATGTGATTGTTCTATTTCCATTTCGTAGGTGTTTGTTAGTATCTGGATGGGGGTAAATAGGAGGATGGGTATGGGATGGTTGATATACAATTCGGTAGGCTTCTTTGAGGAATTCGTCGGCGATTTCGGTCGTCATGTACCCTGTGGAGAGTTTCGAGGTCGGCGATTTGCTGTGCACCAGCTGGGTGAATGTGGGGGTGAGGTCGGTCATTTTGTGCTGTGTTGCTATATACACTTCGGGGTTGTGGTCTGTTGGTGCGAGCTGGCTTGTATCTACATAGCTACGGAGAGGTGTTGATCACGTGATGTATGCTTACGTGTTTATGCATTGTCATAATTCATATCATCCATACCGACCATACAGCCATACAACCATACAACCATACCATATCAACCAAACTCCAGGGTATACGCTAATGCAATCCTAAATCACGCCTCGCTCCTCAACCCATATCTGTCATGGTTAGCACGATTCCTTCTCTCTGTGAAATTAAGTGGGGTGTATACCTCCATCTTCCCCATCTCGCTCCCCTCTCGCCGTGCCACCTCGCGCGACCCCGTCATCAACAAGTCTAGATCCTCCTGGTCCACCATCGTAATCATATCCCCATCGTCTTGCATGCGGATTCGCAGCAATGTGCGGAACCCAAACTTGTCCCGGATCCGATTCTCAAACTCCCTAAACTCAATCGTCGGCTCCATCATGATGTACCGTGTATCTTCTCGCGAGTGCGCCTTCACTCGGAACTTGCGCACCTCCGGCCGTCGTGACGTCCCCCGCCGCGATCCCCGGTTCGGAGACGCCTGCGGCCGCGTTCCCATGATCTCAAACTCACCGTCTGGTCCGTTATCCTCGTATGCATCACTGGCATACTCTTCTTGCTCGTCAATATACCGCTCTTGTTGACGGCGCCAGGTGGCGCCCGCTGGCATCGATCGAGTGCCCGAATACGACTCCTCCGAGCTCACCGTAGGGGCAAAGCCCGTGTCACTCATGCCTCGTCGATGGCCATGGGACTCGCCCGGCCTTCGTGGCCCTGACCCCGGCCCCGGCCCCGTTCGACCCGGACCTGCCCGCGACTCGGACGCCGTGCGCGTCGTGCCGATTCGCGGCTTTTCGACCAGCGTTTCTGTACTGTGGCCCGCCGTCAGGTCGAGCCGGGGCGGTCGCGCTGCCCGGATGGACCCCGGTCGACTGTTCATCGCGAGACTACCTGTGGAGCTGTTGGTACTCGCCTTGTCTGCGTCCGGCGGGGGAGTAGGAGGGAAGAGATTACGATTCAGAGGCGGCTCCGATTGCTGACGGCTCCGACTCTGCAGGTTTTTATGCACCAGGTGCGACGTGGCAAACGGCAGCGTCTCTGGCTTTCGGTGGTCCAGCATGGACATGGTCCGCTTGAGGTCGTCGCTGGCGGCGGACGGCATGCTGCTGCGCTCTGATGCAGCAATCAGCCGAGACTTGCCCAGGTAGTCTTTTGCCTTGAGGTTCTTGACCTTGGCCTCGTTGGGTCGGTACACCACCCCCACCGGAATCGAAAAGACCGTGTAGCCCTGTTCCGTCAGTACCATCACTCTCACAAGAGGAAGCTGACCTACCGCCGCTTGCTCACGAATAGCATCGTCGATCACGTCGTGGTCGGGCGTGACTTTCTCTTTTGAAGCATATTGTAGATCTTGCATGCCAGGTCCCATTTGCTGCAGGTAGATATAGCACAGGCCGCGATTGAACAACACCTCACAGGAGAACAGCCGGAACTTCAAGCCCAACTGCTCATAGTCGATGGAGGTGTTGCCCCGGAGGTAGAGCAGCGTATCATTGAAATTAGCCAATGCCTCCTCAAAGTCCCCCAGAAGGAAGTTGGACACTCCCTCTTGGAAGTAGGCAATAGCCAGATACTGGTCCAGGCCGACAGCCCGCTGGTAGCACTCAACCTGCTCTCGTCAGTAATGACCAGAGAACTAATCAGGGAACATACCGCTCTTTCATGTTCACCTAACGTGGCATAGATGACCCCGCAGTTGAAGAGAATCTTGGAGGTCTCTGCAATCGCACCAAAGACCCTAAGAGCTTCATCATATTCCTGATTATCGTAGTGGTCAAGGGCCTGTACCCAGGTTTCGATTTCCTAGTCACATTAGCATCATCCGAAACCCTACAGCTGGCATAAGTACCTGCTTCAAGGACATGGTCAAGTTGTCCGTAGCACGGCCACTGGCCTAGTTGACTTGGGCGAGGCGAGACGCCGCAGCAACTAGCGAGTGTATATGTATGCGACTGGCTATGGCCAAGACGCAATGGCTGGGTCCTGGCCACGCTGGAGCAGGGATGTGACGAGGGGCAGCGAGTCCACTGGGACTATGCCGCAAAGGGGATCCAATCGAGGGTAAGCCGGTTGAGGTCGGCACGCGGCAGTCGGTGTGGCTGCTAGTCGAGGGAGCGATAACCAGCGTGAAGGAGTGATAGATCATGCGCACTATCCAAGCGTTGAGAGCCGAGAGTTGGATCGGATATATAATTAGATCACGGATCCAGCGACCCAGCCGCTAAGAGGGAGCGGAGACCAGCCAAGACGCAAGGAGGGCTGTTGGCTGGATGTGATGAGTGATGGGATGAGGGGAGCACGGGCAATGTGAGGTGATTCGAGGGAAGGATTGGCAGAGATTCGTAAAAACGGGTCTGTTCTTGAGTGAGTTTGCAGATTAGGTTGTGGATTAAGGAATGTGCGTTGTGGTGTGTGCCCTGAGATAATTGAATTCCAGCGGGACGGAAGAGAAAGAGGTACGGATCGCGATGGAAGAAGTCAAATCCACATGTAAATGCCAAAAAGGAAGAAACAGGGAAGGGGGTGGGATTAGCGTGCAGAGACGATGCAGCCGACAGGGGAGCTAGTTAGTTTAGCAGCAGCAGCAGCAGCAGTAGTAGTAAGAGTAGTAGGTGTAAAAGGTGAACGTCATGCCGGTTAAGATGGAGAAGACCAGGGAGGGGTGAACAGCAGTAGATTGATGACACTTAGGCATGGCATCGGGCATGGATGGGGAGGGAGAGAGAGAGAGAGAGGGAGAGAAGTATAAGCTTGTCTGGTCAGTCGGTGTAGCCAAGAGGAATACTCTTAGTCTCTTACAGCGTATCTACTGAGTAGACTAGTAGAGTGAATGAGTGGTGATGAAAAGAAACAGGAACTGTCACAGCTGCCCCGTTCGTAACGCCCGAGGGGGAGACTGGCGGATGAATGGCTGATAGCAAGCCACCCCCGGTCAGTGCCCAGGGTGCCAATCCGGTGTGCGCGATGATCATTGGCTCCTGCAGGGGGTTGGCACTTCATCACAGTGCAGCCAAGATCCATCTCTTCCCCCTTGATTGGCTGCTGGTCGGGGTTCTTTTCCAGTTGACGCCCGTACCTTACAGTACTCAGATACATACATACACACACACTTTCTTTCTGTCTTTTACTTTCGGAGATACAGGATACAATTAAAATTCAATACCACTTAATTTACACCAGATTACTTCGATACTACCTCACTATCTCCTTACTACTTGCCATCAGCCATGGATAGATGAAGACTGGATGTTGGGCTGGAATGGGTCAAAGGCCCGTTCCGCAACCCATGCCGAGTGGGGAATGTGGGCAATCTCCGATGTCACTGAAGAATTCAATCAAATCAATCAATCACCCTACAGGATATAGTATGATACATACCATTAGAGGACCTCCGGGACAGGAGGGGAAAAAAAAATATGACCAGGACAAATCAGAATCCATCACACAACAGTCTGCTTCCAAATCCGCATCACGTTGTCCCAATCCTTCTTTTTCCACTCTCTCAGGGGATGATTAACTTTTGGGTGTCCCCGCCACGGCGCTTGCAGGAAATGGCCGAACTCCCCTTCGGTACCGATTTCCTGCCTGGGGTCCCTCTCCGACCCTCGCAGATTGGTCCCTCGCGGTTGGTGTAATAATCACCAGCATTAATCACTATCCACTAAACCACTAACCAACCATCCCATTCAATTTCACTCCCCCGCCTTCATCAACCCCTCGACGACCGTTGTGACTAGACTACGACTAGTCCTGTAGACGCTGCTGGCTGACCTATCTTTAGCTGCGAGCCACCGTAGTCTCCCGACTAGTCGCTCTGTCGTGCAGCTCTCCTGCATACTCGTCGGTCACCTGAGTCTGGGGTGTCTACTATTGGATCCCTCGTCCATCTCTATCGCCATCCACCATCACCAACACCACCACCAACCACCACAAACACTACATACCGGTGATACAATGGGTACCCTGGTCCGGTCTCTATTTCTGGAAACCCTCGCCCACGCGTTTCTATTTAAAAGTTCGGCAATGCGCTAGAATATCGTCACTCATGCTTGCTCGTATTCCTTATCTCAGGGCTGATCGATCATCGATCGTGGGTATCCTATCCCTAGTACTATGCACACTCTAACCACTGACCGCACTGCTTGCTATACATAGACACAATCGCCAGTCTAGCTTCCTCCAACCACATCCTCATTTCCCTCTCTTCTTCCCCTTTAGGCCATTCCCTGGGCCACCTGCTCCTGCCGCTCCTGCCACACATTCTTACCGGAGCAGGAACACACCATCTTGTCGTTATCCCACACCCCCGCGCTTCGAGCGATCACTCCCACTAAAGTGTCAGGGTCTTCCTGTCGAAAGGGCCCCTCCTGGCTCTTCGACACTACCATACTGCGCCCAATCATCTCCCACACCGCTACCGGGCGATCCAAAAATACATTGCCCCGGCCCTTGTCGTTCACCTCAACCGATCCAAAAATGCCGCGGGGTTCCTTGACTGGCTCCGAACCCAGCACCTTAGCCTTGACGGCCTCCCAAATGCCGCCGGTGGATCCAGCACCCTGCGAGATATCCCCTGTGTCGCGTACCGTGGCATAATACTTGCCGGGAGTAAGGCCGTTGATCGTCAGGTCGACCAGGGTCATGTTGGAGGAGACCTGGACCATGCGCGCCAGACCACGAATCTTGTTGGAGACGCTATTCGAGTGGGTTTCCAAGATACACACCGCGGAACCTGCAATGGTGCCATCAGCCTCGGTGTACTGCCTGGAGTAGGCAGGTGATAGACATACTGTTGGAGGTGCCACTACCTCGTAGAATGGCATCCCGTCCCGTAGCTTGGATAGCGGAGACAATCGAGCTGGGTGGTGCCGTTCCCTCGATGAAGACTAGCTGGTCCTTAAGATTTGCCTCGACCTTGTTGATGCCTGACCGGTCAGCTCGCGCACAGGGTTGCAATGCGGATGCGCCTACCCTCCAATTTCTTCAGCGATGCGGAAACATCCTTGACGCAGCCCTCGCAGGTCATCGGGACCGCAAAGGTAGTCTAAGCGATTAGTTAGGCATTCCCCTCACGAGATGCATCGTCAACCCTGGCAAGAGCCCACCTGAAACGGTTCAATCATATTGACTGGATAGAGAGTACTACAACACCAATGCGCATGTAAGAGTCACCGTAGAAGAAAGAGGGAAAAAGAAACTGTGGATTCTCATGGAATGCCCCTCGAATGTAGTTGATGCGGGACGAGGCGGGGGACGCTTTGAAATCAACCCAATCGGGCTTAGTCACTCTGTTCTCGCCGATAGCGTCATCCGACCAATCAAGCATCACTTTCTCGCCGCAATTCCGTCCGCGTCCAGCTTGTCTACAGCTGCTGCTTTGCATCCGGCACTCTCTCCACAACCCCATCCATCCATTGTCATTCGCCCCACGCCAATCCAGGCCATCACAGCATGTCCTCCAAATCCAGATGGGCCACCGACGACGACCCCGAAACGGAAGCCATCCTGGCCCAGCGCAAGCGCGAAAAGGAAGAAAAGCGACGCGCCAAAGCCGAGAAACAGCGCCAGCTGGACGAGCAAGCCAAGCTCCAAGCTCAACAACAAGCAGCTGAGACAGACAGCAGCGCACCGCCCACAAAGCGTCGCCGACTCTCAAACGATCACATCCCAGACCAACAACAAACAACATCCAACACAACCACCACAAACAATGAACCCAACATCCTCACCTTCCCAACCCAAGAATGGGGACCCTGTCGAAACGTCACCAACTTCGAGCGCCTCAACCACATCGAAGAAGGCTCCTACGGCTTCGTCAGCCGCGCCAAAGACATAACCACGGGTGAAGTAGTAGCCCTGAAGAAACTCAAAATGGACAACTCCCCAGACGGATTCCCAGTAACAGGGCTCCGCGAGATCCAAACCCTCCTCGAAGCCCGACACCAGAACATAGTCTACCTACGCGAAGTAGTAACAGGCACAAAACTAGACGAGTATACCTCCCTCCACCCTTCAACCCTCTCACTACCCCAAACTAACCTTCATATCCACAGAATCTACCTAGTAATGGACTTCCACGAACACGACCTCAAAACCCTACTCGACGAAATGCCCGAACCCTTCCTCCCCAGCGAAATCAAAACCCTCCTCCTCCAACTCCTTTCGGGCCTCAACTTCCTCCACGACCAATGGATCATGCACCGCGACCTCAAAACCTCCAACCTCCTCCTCAACAACCGCGGCGAGCTCAAAATCGCCGACTTCGGCATGGCCCGCTACCACGGCGATCCGCCCCCGAAACTCACCCAGCTCGTCGTGACCCTCTGGTACCGGGCCCCGGAACTCCTCCTGGGGGCAGAGAAATACGGCACCGAGATCGATATGTGGAGTGTAGGGTGTATCATGGGGGAATTGTTGACCAAGGAACCGCTATTGCAGGGGAAGAATGAGGTCGAGCAGGTTTCGAAGGTAAGCTAGTCCCTCTTACAGCACCCACTCTCATAAATATTATTCTGTGAAGGGTCATCTTGACTAATTAATAATGTGGTTTAGATATTCGCCCTCACCGGCCCGCCCACACCCCAGATCTGGCCTGAGTTCAGATCACTACCGAACGCCAAGTCACTACGGCTGCCGCCTACTGCATCTACTACTACGGCGGGAGGAAACCCGCCTTTACTGCCTCGGACCAAGTTCCCGTTTTTGACGAACGCTGGGCTACATCTGCTCTCGTCGTTGCTGGCGTTGAATCCCGGGGTGCGGATGTCGACGAAGGAGTGTCTGGCACATCGCTATTTCAAGGAGGATCCTCGGCCGAAGCCGAAGGAGATGTTCCCAACGTTTCCGTCTAAGGCGGGTATGGAGAAGCGCAGACGGAGGGAGACTCCCGAGGCGCCGAAGCGGGGGCAGGAGGCTCCGAAGCTGGACTTTGCGAGTGTGTTTGGTGGGCAGGGTGGTGGAGAGACGGGGGAACAAGGGGCTGGGTTTACGCTACGGCTGGGCTAGTCTGGAGCCTGGTTTAATGTCTTATAATGTGCATATAGAACCTCGTGTGATTCAGGTTTTGGAGCGAGATGTCTCGATATCCAAAATACCTGGAGGTATCACTAGAATACACTTCCAAACTGAACAGCAGGGTGTGATAAGGAACGTCACAGGTTAGGTAACATGCAAAGTCAAATGAAGGCAGTACCGACACCACTCACGTCAGCATGGACTCACGAAAAGTAGTGTCTGTCGATAGCCGGGTATGTCATAAGGTACTCGTCTGAATCGCTGGTGTTATACTCGCGTCGGAACGGCCGTGTGCCACGTACCTGGACGGGTGTGCGTGGGCCAATGATCTCGGGGATATCATGCACTCTGTTTACCGAGTTGCGGTCGAGCCCTGGCCCACTGTACAAGCAGCCATCACCGCTGAAGCTGCGCTCCGCTTTGGTGGCGTTGTTCCCCCTATCCGGACGGAGGTCGTTGGATTTGTCCACTAGGAAGTACTCGTCTCGCAATGCTAGCAGCGTGGCCAGATCATCCTGAGACGATTGGCTGCGCAAGACCGAAGCATCGGTACTATGTTCACTCAGACGATCCTCTACTCTAGCCGGGATTAAGGGCATATTTTCTGTCGAATCAATGCAGCGGACAATGCGATTACTGGCGCCTTCCTGCAGCTGTCCAGAAGTAACGCGCATATCAATCGTAATGCGAGGTATTTCACCACCATGATTCGACGGCTCGGGAATTTCAGCTGATGGCGCTGCTGGGGAGCGGCTGTTGGTCGAATCCACTGCCCCTGGTGAGTGACTGGCTGGATGTCCAGCGTTCTCGTAAGCTTCGTATGTCACGTCCTGTTCTCCATCATGACTTTCATCCAACTCTAGTCGTTGGCACAGCTCCAAAGACTCTATAGCCAACTCAGCATCCATTATTGGTGGGTTGGAGACGTAGGCTGCCATGTTGGCGATCGTGCCAACGGGTCTGGCGCTGCTTGTGTCGATGACTGGCACCGAAAGATTGCTGGGTCTGTTCGCGCTGACCGCACCATTCCTGTCACTATCGACTGTTTCAGACGGCAACTGTGGCTCAGAAGCGCCACTGTTGGAAGGAACAGGAACTGCGATGCACAGACCCTCGGCCTCGCTGCCTGCTGCTTGCGAAAAGTACGACTCGCTAGGATTGTGGGAGGATGAGCTCGGAATCATAGGATGAGGATTGTCTCCTCCGATAGCATCTGTAGACGCCATATTATGAGACTCCGTTCCCCTATCTTTATTGCTCGACGTTGATCGAGCATTTGAGAAGGTCAAAGTAAGGAACTCTTCAGTCTCCCGATGAGGCACAACGGTCGACTCTGAAGAAACCGTACCATCTTCCCATACAAACGGTCCCGGCAGACTCCGTAAATACCTGTCCATGTTGCCATCCGGCGGGTAGTTGCAGCTGATGCGCTGTAGGTCAGTACCAAACTCAACATCTTCCTCTGTGCTAGCCTCTGACACAGTCGACGAGTAGAGCGTGCCCTGCTGGTCTGAGGAGCCCTTGGCTGAATCCGTGGATGACCAAAGGCTAGGTATATCATCTCTATGGCTTGGACGAGGAATGGGACGCCTGCGAAACCTAGGTCGGAAGGACAAAGAGTGCATTTTCCCCATGGACTTCTTCGGCAGGCTTTGCATCCACTGCTGCCATGATGTAGATGCAAGAGAAGGGTTGTGCCGCGGGTTTTGCGGATCAAAGACGGGGTAGTGGGCGCTTTCTTCGCAAGTGGTGGGAGGAGGTGTTGATGGTCTTCTAGTTCTTCATGCTATCTGTCAGCCTGCAGAGTTCACACGATCATATAATTTGCCTACCTATTTCGGCTCATGGATGGACGAAGAGACGAGAACGACAACGACTGACGACGTCTGCTTCGGCCACTGCTTGAACCCTCAGGCTTCATGGCTGTGCTATTCAAGTGTCTGATATTGACTCAGTGAATCAGAAGCTCCGAACAGAAGTTGCACAGAAAGATACTTTGCGGGGGAATGATCTGGACAGTGGGGTGCCCAGTTGGTAAATAACCAGCAGCAGGCGATGCCAAAGTACATACGAGACGGATCATGCCGGATGCATTTGCAATGTTGGACAAGGCAGGCATTGAATTGAGTGGCTGCTTCTCTGCCTGTATTGCCTGCATGGCGGTTTCCTGAAATATCTCGGCTGTGAATGTACAAACAAAGTGTCGGGGATATACTTTGATTGGCTCCTCAAACAAGCCCTTACTACTTCTGTTTCGTAATAGATGCTTCTCTTGTATCAGAGTTAAGCTTAAACAAAGAATATTGCAGACTGCCTGAGGCTTCAGGTGGTGCTGGCGAAACAAGCTTCTTGTTTGGGTCGTACTATAAACTAGACTAAGGTGTTTCTTCCCGATAGCTGTCTGTTACTATTCAATCAATAGTATCACGGAGCTGTGCTACTGGCACACCAGCCTTCATTCATGCCACATCCTCTCCCTACACCTTTCCTGCGCTAAGTATACCCCAGAAGATAAGGCTTGTTCTTAGCATTTGCAGAAGCCAAAGCCTACCGCCATCCCCTTGAATTCAGATCCCCAGTATACTAGGCCTGAGACGAGAATAAAGAGCAAGGTCTATCAGGTCACAACTCCATATCACAGTATCAACAACCATACCGGGTCATGAGAGCTTTGAAGAAAGGATCGACCAGAAGCTGCGTCGCAGTCAGACGCTCCTCGGGCGAGTATAGGAATACCTTCTGCATGATGGAGAGCACAAGTTCTCGTTCAGCCGGGTCGGCATCGAGTCGATAGCGCGCAAGCTCTGATGCGAGGGTGTTATTCGTATCAGGCGTTCGATTTTGGTCGTACCAGGAATCCAGGCAATCATCATATATGTACGATCCTTTCCATCGCTCTGGTAGCGGGCCCAGACGGGCGGTAATAGTCGTCAATACTCCGCCTATGTACCCATCATGGAATGGTTGTCCCCCTTGGTAAAGTTCAACAAAGTTGACCATGTAGCTCCACATGTCGCAGGCAAAGCTTGGGGCTTCTCCATGGAGACGCTCCGGGGAGCAGAAACACAGAGGTGGATCGCCGGGTTGAGCCACGGGATCGCCAACCTTCATGGCCAGACTGAAGTCGGCGAGATAGAAATCTTCTGTGCGCAGAGTTTCAGGGACCTGTATGGGCCGCACCAACTCTCCAGGCTTCCAGAGCTCGATATATTGGATGGTTATCTTCAATGGCCGAGTGTGTAGTTCATATTTAGCATTGAAAGTGGAGTCTGAGCACTTCACTTGACGTACATTTACAGTGAAGTACAGTGAATGCTGTATGAATAACCTACTTCAATTATTAGTATCACCGAGTAGTAAACACAAGTATCCAATTCAGATGTCATCTATACGGAGTACCCTACTGCTTATACTATAACACCCGACTTCACGGCAACCAGAGGTCGATGTAGATGCTTGGATCAAAGACCTGCTCACCTGTTGAAACGCAATTAGGGAGTAACTCTTTACCTTTTCTAGCTATAATGTGGCATTGCAGGTACCTGACATTATTGCATCCTCCTAGTTTGTATGGTCAGACAACACTTGTATCTAGAGTATCTCCTATATCAGAAGGGACCCCTTCTCTTCTTCTCACAATTTCACAATGCTGCAGAACCTGCTCTTCTACCTAATCGATGGGATAAAGTGATTCATTCACCTCTGGGGTAACTCGGGCTAGTTATTCATCTCATTCATAATGAATGTTGTTCCATTCGGTCTCCAGCCTCCTTTCGTTCCTTTCCTATATCAAGCTGCTATTCTATCTGTAACATCAAAGAGTACTCAGCTTTTGCAATGACGTTTACTAACGTTCTCCCCGCTGATCTTTATGAGGGAACCGTCGATGGAATTGCCATTAAATGGAGTCACAACGCTAAAGCTAGGCTGACTAGTAATGCCATCGATTACGAAGAGAACGCTTCCGCTATGAAGGCAGCTACTGAGCACTTTACGCACAAGTGCTCTGAGCGCCTGGGGAAAGACTACTGCCATAATAATGTAGGTCTTCTTTACTCATTTTAAGGCTTGAATCAGACACTCACTTCCTTCATTCTAGTGAGTCTTTCCATAGATTCACCACTATCACCAGAACCGGCAAGAAGAAAGCGGCCCACTCCCATATAACGCTTCCCTTAAATCCAGGCGGCGTCAAGGTCCATGTGAACGTTACCTTGCCCGAAGGGGGGCCCGTAGAAAATGCCCAGTGGAGAGGTGGAAAGCGTCGTATTGAGAAGAAGGGCCATAGCAGACCCAAGCCTGTCCGTAGGCGAGTATGCTGAATTGTCCGACAGAGGTAAGTCTACCATAGCAAAATACATGGAGCAATATGATCTGATTCATATAGATACACCGTCCCCTGTCTTGAACTAGTTCAAGCGCTAAAGAGAAAATAGCAAAGTTGCTGAACCCTATCAAGAGAAAGACCGTACCAGAGTTCCGTGGATTGACTTTCTTAAGTTATCAGCAAGGATGACAAAGGCTTAAGGCTGATAAAAAGCAACAGCAGCGCTATTTAGGGCTACAGCAACGCCGAATGCAGAATGATCTTCCTGAGGAACACTGACAACATGCATCACAGCCGCGAGCAGCAATGACGAGGCAAACAAGCCTTGCAACATTGTGAGATGCCAGAAATACGGATACTGGACAAGGTCTCTGCAGAATAACAAAGTTCGCAGGGATAGACGCTGAAGATTCTGGGTAATTGGACCAAAACACGCCCTGTTTCGAGTCTTCCGGGGAGGCTGTGCATATGAGAAGAAGAAACATGTAGGAGGCAAGTCATAGACAAAAAGAGGAGGTTATGATGGCTCGTACGTAGCTGACCAATCAGATGCAGCACTCTTTCTAACTTTGACAACTTTGTAGATGTCTCCTCCTTCGTTGTTCATGTAATTGTGTTTAGCTGCGGTGACGACCTTCCTGCGTTGTAGCATACACTGCTTATGGTTTCAAGTGATTACGTGACTTTGACGTATTTGACGATATCCAGGGCTTATTCTTTACTTCAATTGATGAAGCACCTACATAGCTAGCATCTCCTATAGCAGGTGCAGTGTAAGAGGATCAACTATTTGATATGGTATAATTTGACTTGAATATATTTGCACAACAGCAACAGCAGGGGGGAAAGATAGCGGCTAGAGCAGTCCCGACAAACCCTCGCAAGACAAATAGAAAGCGAATATCGAAAGAACCTTATCTTATGTTAGATGACAATTTTGAAGCTATCTCATCAAAAAGGAGCTCATCCAGACCGTCCCACACCTACAAAGAGTACTGCTTGGACAACTTTCGATTGAGTGTGATGATATAAGAAATCTTGGACATGTGAGAAAAAGACAGAATGAGGCTAGGCGTGGTATCTAAACTGATTCAGAATAAAGTCAGACTTCGAGCTTTTGTAGGATATCCTCACCTTATGTAGTGATATTCACTCAGCAGCGTCTGCGGCGGGCGAGATGACGGGAGCGGAGCTAATGGCGGAGCTCAATCTCCTTCCGTTCTGTCAGCTCCTCCTGCTGTTACCAGTTCAAGCAATCCCGACAGATTCTCATCATTGGTAACTGAGTTACACAGGAAGCTCAATTGATCCCATAGATTATTGATTCTACTAGTCTTATTATCATTTAACCCTCACTTTCAGTCCCCAAATCTCTACCGCCATGGCCGCGAGCCAGGATACCGTTTCCTTCGATGCGATCATCCAAGCCGGTATGACCATCATTCCCCAACTCACCCACGCAGAGGGCTTGAGACTAACAGGCTTGATCTAGATCGCAAGAGAAGACGCAACGAAGAACTAGCAAACAAGCTCCTGAGCAAGAAGAAATCGACCAACCCGCCCACGAAACCGGCAGGGAAGACGCAGAATGTGAAGCCAGGCAGCCTGGCAAGTCGGATCGGAGTAGCGAAGGTGAGGAGATCAGGACCTCTGCAAGCTTGCTCATTCTTGTCGCATAACTAATTCGATGTAACGCCCAATTCAGCGCTCCGCATCGGCTACCCTACCGGCCAAAACCACTCCTCCAATCCCAGCGCCCGCGCGACAGGGTGCCCGACCGAACGCAAGGCCATCGAACAAGCGCCGTCCTGATGAGAACCGCCTTCTTTCTGCGCTCAATCCCGCGAGCGGCCAGGCTAACGTGCGAAATGGAGGTGGACTGTCAATCAAGGGGAAAGGGTCCGGGCCGTTCGTTGTTGTCGGTAGCAACTTCGCGCCAGGGACTACGGCGGCCGATATTCAATCAGCTCTGGAACCTGTTTCCGGCCCGATATTGCGCTGCTGGGTCACTGCGCAACATCCTGTTGTCACAGCGGAGATTACATTTGCAGAGAGACAGGCCGCAGAGGGTGCCGTTGCCAACTTTCACAACCAGAGGGTAAGTCAGTCGTCGCAACTATCACGGATCTATTCTAATCGATTAGGCCGACGGTCGGATCCTCTCATTCCACCTAAAGCAACCTCAGAACCCCGATCTGTTCGAGCGCTCCAATGCCCAGCCCGCCGTACAGAACTCCCAATCGTTCAGTGACCTCCGCGAGCAAGCAGACCGCGATCGCCGTTCTCATCGCTTGGCCGATGCAGCTGTCCAGGACGGACGGTGGGGATTCAATGATCAGAACCCGGCTGGCCAAGGCCCATCCAGGGGGAACAATCGCAGAAACCGGGGTGGGCGGAAGGCAAGGGGTGGAGCACAGAATACACAAGAAACAGGCCTCTATAGCGATGAGATGATGGTCGATGCACCTCAGCAGAACCAGCGATACCGGGGCCGTCGGTAATGCAGGCATGAGTGGTTCAGTCTGAAAATCGCTGTTCTTTGATACAGGCTGTTCTGCTGATCAGGCAGGATGGATTTTTTTTTCTTTTCGGATTACATGGTTCTGCAATTGCTTGGCTACTTAGAATGAAGACCTGTACGATATGAAGAAATAGCAATTATTCTGGACGAAAACCCTTTGGACGTAGATAGATGGAATAGCTGACTAGAGCGGATTATCGGCAGCTGATATGATAAGAACGGAATCACGTGTGCGGAAGTTTTGCGGAGAAGTTGGAGAGCTTCACAGGATTAGTTGCTGGATGTTGATCCAGAACCCCTCAAATTAGGGTCTCCTTAACAATACCATATCAATTAGACTAATGAATTAACTCGCTACCCTTCAATCGAAAAACATCGAGATGAACCACGCAACGAGGCGCGCCGTGAGGCAGCTCCTCAGAAAACATCCCAACCAGACCCTCTGCCTCAAATCGCAACGATGGTCCTCAACTACACCCGCATCTTCCACATCTACATCTGAAACAAGAAAATGGTCGACACCGCTAGCGCAGACTCTTGCCAATGCGATCAAAGTACGACATCGATTCAATTCTCATTGAGCAAATCTAACCAGCCCTCCGCCAGGTAACCGGACCCGTTCCCATTGCCGCCTTTATGCGCCAGGTCCTCACAAATCCCGAAGGAGGCTACTACACAACGCGACCAGAAGGCCACGGCGAAGTATTCGGCAAGAAAGGTGATTTCGTCACCTCTCCCGAGATATCGCAGGTCTTCGGAGAACTGGTGGGGATCTGGACAATTGCGGAATGGATGGCGCAGGGACGGAAGCGCAGCGGAGTGCAATTGATGGAAGTTGGACCGGGGAAGGGCACATTAATGGATGACATGTTGCGTGTGAGTTGTCCAGATGTCCAGTCCTTGCGGCGTCTTACAATTGCTGACACGGACGGAGCTAGACATTCCGCAACTTCAAGATGTTCTCGTCGAGTATAGAGGCGATATATCTGGTCGAAGCTAGCGCTACGCTGCGGGAAGTGCAGAAGAAATTGCTGTGCGGGGATGCAGTCATGGAGGAGACGGATATCGGACACAAGAGTACATGCAAGTACTTTGATGTTCCCATCGTTTGGGTGGAGGATATCCGATTGTTGCCGCATGGTATGGAAATATGACTGATATCTGCGGGTGGACGTCTTACTGATGGTTACTCTACAGAGGAAGAAAAGACCCCCTTCATATTCGCCCACGAATTCTTCGATGCCCTCCCCATCCACGCCTTTGAATCCATCCCTCCCTCTCCGGAGAACCAGCCTGAGCAGAAGGAAATCATGACTCCCACCGGCCCAGCAAAACTACACCAGCCCTTGAAGCCAGCCAACACTCCCCAATGGCGCGAACTCTTGGTTACCTTGAACCCGAAAGCCGTGGAGGAGAACATTGAAGGCGAGCCCGAGTTCAAGCTGACCCTCGCCAAAGCATCGACGCCATCCTCTCTAGTTATCCCGGAGATCTCTCCGCGCTACCGCGCCCTCAAATCCCAGCCGGGATCCACCATCGAAGTCAGCCCGGAGAGTCGTATCTACGCAGCTGACTTTGCGCGCCGCATTGGCGGTGCCTCAGAACCACCCCGCACAGTTACAAAGGGCGCTGCTGCTTCTGCGCCGGCTCCCGCGAAGCGCACATCTTCCGGTGCTGCCCTGATCATGGACTACGGCACTCTCAACACCATTCCGATCAACTCCCTGCGGGGTATTCAGGAGCACAAGAATGTGCCGCCGCTGTCGTCGCCAGGACAGGTTGACGTCAGTGCTGATGTGGATTTCACGGCGTTGGCGGAGGCGGCGATCGAGGCTAGTGAGGGCGTGGAGGTGCATGGGCCGGTCGAGCAGGGTGATTTCCTGCAGGCGATGGGCATCGAAGAGCGCATGCAGCAGCTTCTGAAGAAGGTTGATGATGAAGAGAAGCGCAAGACACTGGAGACAGGATGGAAGAGACTGGTTGAGAAGGGCGGTGGCAGTATGGGCAAGATCTACAAGGTGATGGCCATCGTTCCCGAGAATGATGGCAAGCGTCGGCCGATTGGATTCGGCGGTGGACTTGTGATGTAGCTGTCGATACTGCCCATGTATAATACAATATAGACATGTAGACAATCAACCAAAAACCATATATATGACTGTTATTCTAATGCGCCAACCATGCATCTACCCCATATTCTTCACCCATCTACCCAACCCAACCCACCAGTGAAAATAAATGAACAAATAAAAAGGGTATCACCACCAAACCAATCAATACTTCCAAACCCAACCTCCTATCCATAAATGAAATATAAAAATCTAATACTCCCTCCAAATGTCCTCCACCCAAGCCTGCGTCAACCTCTCATCAGGCCCATACTTCTCCTGCCACTGCACGAACCCACCCTCGAGGACAAACACCTCCTGCTTCTTACTCTCCTCCTCGCCGAGGACGCGCTCGCGCTCGCGAGCATACCGCAGCGCAGCAGACGGGCCGCGCTGCTGGCTCAACGCGCAGTGGAAGACCACCTTTTCTTTGTCCGCCAGGGTGCGGATGAGTTCGGGGAGGCGGTAGTCTAGTGAGGAGCTGGGGACCCAGGTGGAGGTGGTGATGTGGCCGCCGACGTGATCTAAAAATCTTATTAGAATAGTGGATAAGAAGTGGAGGAGATTAGTTACACATACCAGAGTCACGCACGTCGATAATGGCGAGTTTGCTAGGCGTGGAAGTCGAGAGGAGGAGGGCTGAGAGGGCGTCGCGGCTGATGCGGGGGAGGGTTGCGATGGTTATGGAGGACATTTTTGGTGTGAATTTTCGGACTGGCGGGGGAAGATATACTGATGTGAGAGGGAGAGAGCGGGGTGCTCTATGTTCTGCTTCTGCAGAACCACACGTAGTCAGACTATACGGTCCTTGACTAGTTATCAAATGTTTAGTCCAACGTTAAGTATACTGGAGTATGTAGCGGAGTCCCGGCGGAATCAACCACGCAGTCACGTGGCCCGCAATTTCCGATCCGCGCAACCGCAACGGGCGAGATTTATCCCATATCCAACAATAATAATTCCCTCGACCGCCTGTCCGCCTCCACCACAACATTCAAGCCAGGATAGGACGGTGTTATTCTGGGAAATACACCTCTCCAGCTACCAATTGACTAGGATCCGTCGTATCCTTAACCCACTATCACCATGGACATGCGCGCCCTATCCCGCAGCCTCCTCCGGGCGAAGCCAACCACGACCCTCTACAAGAGCCAGCAGCAGCAGCAACAGCTCCTCCCAGCACGTATTGGCCTACGCTTCTCTTCTGAATCCTCCTCCTCCTCTTCTTCTTCCTCTCCATCCAACAAGAATACCACAACTACACAACCCCCGACCCGCCAAACACAACAACCCTCCTCATTCCCATCAACGTCCCAAAAACCCACCGACTTCGACCAAATCCTCAACAAGCTCAACTTCAACAACACCAACACCACCACCACTCCCACACCCGGCAGCAATGCGGCAGCTACGCCCGGCAGCACCACCCGCGCCTTCAACGACAGCCTTTCCCTCTCGCGCGCGGTAGGTCTCTCCGCCGAGACAGACGGCCTGCGGACGGCTACATCCCTGCGCAAGATCGATCTGAAGCTGGGCCCGACGCTGGGAAGACAGGTGACGGTTGAGCCGGAGCGCGGGATGGATTTGCCTGCGGCGTTGAGGTCGCTGAGCACGGTTATCGGTCAGAATAAGATGAAGCAGTCGTTGATGAAGCAGAAGTATCATGTGCGGAAGGGTATGGTGAGGAAGCAGTTGAGGATGCAGAGGTGGAGGAAGCTGTTCAAGTTTTCGTTTCAGGCGACGGTTAAGAGGATTCAGAAGATTAGAGGGCAGGGGTGGTAGGTTTTTTCAAATCAATCCTCCGGAGGGGGATGGATGGTTGGGGGTGTGTGTGTATAGATGAACAGGATGGTATGTGGTGGGTTATTATTAGAGGAAAATGGGTTATCCTTTGTGTATTATACTATGTGTATTTTTTTTTGTCTGTTGTGTTTCATTTGTTTGCTATGTCTGTTGAATCTACATGAGATACTATACTGGTAGTATATCTGCATCTGCATCTGCATACATCTTTTGTTTGCATCTCCATCTATCATCATCCGCATCAATCATACGTTCAATCAATCAGTCAATCCAATATACACATCAATCCCTTTTCCCACTCACATACCCTCCATACCCATACCCACCATATCCTCCTCCCCCTCCTACACTACCACCACCACCACCACCCACAGCAACAGTTGCAGGCGAATACCCTCCATATCCATTCATCCTAACCCCATTCCCACCAAACCCCTTCCTCCCAGCACCACCAGTAACCCCCAAAATACCCTCTCCCCTACCCCGTCCCCTCCCATAAACCCTCTCCCAATAAACCGCCAACACAGCCCCAACCACCGCCGCCATCCCAAAAAACACGACCCTCGAAAACCACCCCCACCACAACTCCCCCCCTCCTCCTCCTCATACCCAGCCCCACCACTAGGCCACCCAATCCCCCTCCCCCCCTCCACCCACTTAACACTAAACCGAAACGTCAAAGGCTCGCCCCTCACAACCTTCGTCCCATGACCCTCCGTCCACGGCTCCCTCGCCCCCCGATTATCAAACTCGGGCACACTGTACGCCGTGCCCGCAACCACATACCCAGGATCCTTACGCTTCTTCTTCTCCGTACTGGCCATGTTATGCACCAGGACATTCATATCCGTCCATATATGCAGATGGCTTAGTTGCAATGTGCCCTGGATAGCGAAGGTGATGGGCGTGTAGGCTTGTTCACCGGTGGAGACATCATCGATGATGTCGATGTCTGGAGAGGAAGGGGAGGCAGCGAGAAGCGGCGCGGTGGGCACGCGACATGTCATGGGCACGTCCGAGTGGACGTAGTACTCTAGTAAATGGTAGAGTTCATCGGGGAGGGAGGCGATGGTGCATGTTAGGGTCTGTTCGGCGACGCCGTAGTGGAGGGATAGCGGTTGGGAGGTCTCGTTGCATGTTGGGAAGGGGATGTATTGGAGGTTGCCCAGGGGGTCGGTTATCTATATATTTTTTTTAATTCCTCTATGTTAGTTGTGTTGGGGTTTTGGGGGTTACTGTGGGTGGCGTACGTGTTCGCCGGAGTCACTGTTTACCACCAATTATGTTAGTACGTCGTTGAATTGGATGGATTATTGAGTGGATATATATATAGGGGATTATGGAACGTACATCGTCCGGTTCAGACATGTTACTGGCACCGCTTGGCCATAACTGTAGCCGGGGTTTGCTGTTGCGCGTTGCTCACTGCTGCTTCTCCCCGCTGCGGTGGATGTGTGGAGGAAGAGGAGACTCAATAGTCCATAGTGATAGATCCGATGGAGGGGTGCCCTTTCAGGAACGGGCATTATGAATAAATAGGAGAGAATGAATTATTGATTCGGAGCTCTCGCCGGCCAGCGCAATGGGGAATTTCGCGCGCTGGCGAGGTAGAAGGCGGGTTTTGATGGTCAGGAGAAGCGGCGTGGTCGGAGCCGCGGTAAGGAGACGGACCCTTTTCTGCTTACCGACTTGAGTCTATTTGGACGGCATGTTGCAACTTGCTACGTTGGGAGGCTCGTCAATTCAATGCTACTGGTTATTCCTTGGTATATTTCCAGGATTCATGCGACTTAATTGTCTACAGTTCAGCTGCAAGTACTGCACTGTCCAACAGTTTCATTGCTAACTCATAATTAAAGGATGACACTCGTGGCTTCATCAAAATGACTATGTACTCCTTTTGCTATTTCAATCCCTTTTCGTATCCAAAAATTTACGCCAGGTTGGCCTTCTTCTTGAAGGCAAGCAGCAGACCGCTGGTCGACGCATCGTGGTCCGAGCCAGCGTCCGCGGTCTCGAGCTCCTTCTGGATCTTCTTGGCAAGCACCTTGCCCAGCTCCACACCCCACTGGTCGAAGGAGTTGATGTTCCAGATGGCACCCTCGGTGAAGGTGAGGTGCTCGTAGTAGGTGATCAGAGCTCCCAGAGTGGAGGGGGTGATCTTCTGGGCCAGGATGGAGGTCGTCGGGCGGTTGCCCAGGAAGGTCTTGTGAGAGACCAGGTTCTCAGGGGCACCCTCGGCCTTAACCTGCTCAGGGGTCTTTCCGACCATCAGGGCCTCGGACTGGGCCAGGAAGTTGGAAGCCAGCATGCGCTGGTGCTTGCCGCCCTCAACGGGGTTGTGCGACTCGGCGGCCATGATGAAGTCGGAGGGGATGAGCTTGGTGCCCTGGTGCAACAGCTGGAAGAAGCTGTGCTGGGCGTTGGTAGCGGGCTCACCGAAGAGGATAGGGCCGGTGGTGTACTTGACGTACTCGCCGGTGCGGGTGATGGCCTTGCCGTTACTCTCCATGGAGAGCTGCTGCAGGTAGGCAGGGAAACGGTGCAGGTACTGGTCGAAGGGGGCCACCAGGTGGGTCTGGGCGCCGAAGAAGTCGCTGTACCACACGCTCAGCAGACCACCGAGAACGGGGATGTTCTGCTCCAGAGGAGCCTCGCGGAAGTGCTTGTCCATGGCGTGAGCACCGGCCAAGAACTGGTGGAAGTTGTCGTAGCCGATGTACAGAGCGACGGATAGACCGATGGCGCTCCAGACGGAGTAGCGACCACCCACCCAAGACTCGAAACCGAACATGTTCTTCTTGTCAATGCCGAACTTGGTGACCTCCTCCTCGTTGGTGGACAGGGCCACGAAGTGCTTGGCAATGTGAGAGTCCTCCTTGGCGGTCTCGAGGAACCACTTCTTCGCCGTGTTGGCGTTGGTGGTGGTCTCTGCGGTAGTGAAGGTCTTGGAAGCGATCAGGAAGAGAGTGGTCTCGGGGTTGGAGTTCTTGAGGGCCTCGGCGATGTGGGTGCCGTCAATGTTGGAGACAAAGTGCAGCTTCATGTCGGGGGCACCGTAGGGCTTCAGAGCTTCGGTCACCATGACAGGACCACTAGTTGTGATGTTAGCAACGGGTTTTTCATGTCATCACTTCAATTGGGCTGACTTACAGGTCGGAACCACCAATACCGATGTTGATGACGGTGTCGATCTTCTTGCCAGTGTAACCCTTCCACTCACCACTGCGCACCTGCTCAGTGAACTCCTTCATGTGCTCGAGAACGGCGTTGACATCCTCAACGACGCTCTTTCCGTTGACCTGCATGGGCTCGTTGGAGACATTGCGCAGCGCAGCGTGGTAGACGGCACGGTCTTCGGTGAAGTTGATGTGTTCACCCTTGAACATGGCATCACGGAGCTCCTCGACATTGGCTTCCTTGGCCAGCTTAACCAGCAGAGCCAGGGTCTCCTCGGTGAGGAAGTTCTTGGAGAAGTCGAAGAGGACCTCGGAGTTGTCGACGGTGTTGTTGAAGGTGCGGCTGAACTTCTCGAAGCGCTGGGGGTCCTTCTGGAAGCACTCCTTGAGGACGATGTTACGTCCGACGGAGTTGTGGTGCTCCTGGAGCTCCTTCCAGGCGGAGAGCTCGGTGGCCTGCGAGAAGCTGGGCATTGTGGTGGATGGTATAGAGCTTTGACCGACGACGGGGGAAAGTGTTAGCGCGGGGCACAAACAGAGGGGGATTGATGCAGACGAAGCTGGGATGGAGCTGGAACAGGACAGATGCTTACCTTTTTACTTTAAAAACAGATGAAACTTGAAGGAAGGAGGAAGAAGGCAGGGAAAAGGGAGGAGGGGTAGCAGGGAAGAATTGAAGGAGAAGAAGAATAGTAGTTTAGAAGGCGGGAGTCGCGGAGGGGAGAGGAGAGCAACAAGACAAGGTATGTCGTCAACCGGCGTGTTGGGGTCCGTAGGAGGGGCTGCCGTGGGGCATCCACCACAACCAGCAAACTGACGCAGCTTCATTCCCCCGGTGGTGCGCCTTTCCCATTTGTCCTTGCCAGAAACCTCTGCCGGTCAGCTGAACGTTTGTTTCCCGTTGCTAAACAATTGTCTTGCGTTGATCCTGTTTGTCATCACTTTATTCTAGACTTTTACACTCACAGCAGTTATCTCCATCGATTTGGTGTCTGTTTCTCCGGCCGCATCGTCATGGGAAGCTTCATCATCCAGATTGACCGGGCTCCACTAAGACAGTCCTGGCCATTCTACCCAGGATGAATCACAGTAATAGCCGGTTTCAAGGTCACACCGGGCACTCAGTCCCATCCTGCGTTATCAAGACCCAAGACCACGCCCCAATAATAGAAACAGTAATAGCTACAGAGGTATGTTCCTGTCAGTCCCTCGGAAAAAGCTCGCCGTGGAATTGTTACCCCCACGTCCTGCCTTCCAGATCGTCTATCGAAGGCTCGGGAGCTTCGGTCGAGATCGTTCCATACTTTCTTTCCCTTTTAGCCGGTTGCGTTTACTGTGCACTGCTGTGCCTTTACCGATGTCTCCATTCTACCCCTTATGGTTTACCCCTGGATTCAATTGACTATTGCCTCATCGTAATCATAGCTCACTTCTTCCCTATCGTTCTTCTGATGTTCAACGACCAGTGGAATCTGGATGTGGCCGATTCCACTAGGTAAAGTGCAACCCAATGACAAGTATTCCGTCTGGATCCGAGCGAGGCCGTTAACAGGGAAATGTCACTGATGGTACTGCTGTATGATCCTCCCACTAAGAAATTATATTCAATGGTCATATTGAACAACTTCGAAGCTGGTGACCCCCAGAGCTATTCATATACAGTTGACTATTCGATGCTGCATATTCTTAGAGAGGCTCTGTCTGTCGAAGAACTAGCTCTTTCCTTCATTAACAATTGCTGCAGCGTCTTACGAACCATTACTAATTGCGGCATAGAGTGGCTGCTTGACCTAGTTGCCGATATCAAGTAGCACCCCTGCCCTAGGATACTGGCACGGGAGTTTTTGACACTGGCTACTAGTGAGGCTCTGCCGAATCTATGTGTTGATCTTCCTGAGGGCAATGATTTGAAACAGCCAGTATCATAATAATGTAGATCTGAAATTTTAGTTTCTAAAAAGTAAGTCTATTAATTTATTCTGGCAGAAGCAACTTGAAGTGCTGAGGCCTAGCACGTTGAACCTCTCGCGCAGAGCAATCGAATGTAGGGCGGATTTCAGATTAGCAGAAAAAAAAATTCAGCTGTTATTTCATTGCATATTAGTATAGTTTACTGTTTACAATGATTGTTGGATGATAGAACAACACGAATAAGGCGAGAGCGGAAGCACTGCTGGGCTGCCAAGATAAATCCGCACGGGCCACCTGGTTCTTCTCGAACTGCGATTCCGCCGTAGCTCGCGATCTTCTTCATCTGCTCAAACGTCTCTTCCCCGCCGATCAGACGAGGATTACGCTTCCTTGTACGGGCGAATCTCTACTCCGAACTGATTGAACTCTCGATATTACCCCACTTTCTCTCACTCCACGACTATTCAGATTTTTCCGGTACCGGGGGACGTCTCTGATCAATCGCTATTGAAGCTGCGATTTCGTCGCAATGTACAATCCTTACCAGCGTACGTCTCCCACCTCATTGGATAGCATCGCTGCGTGTTCCTACGAACTTAACGAACTTATTCTAACTTTCTTAGCTCCTGGTCTCTATGGCAGGCCTCCAGACTTCGGCGCCTATCCTGGTGCGCCCCCGGGCATGGGTGAGTCTACCATTTCTTCAATACCCCGTCTGTTATTTGTTACTGACTTTGTAGCTCCTCCTCCCGGTATGGTAGCCCCCGGAACCACTCCTCCCCCTGGGATGCAGCCTGCAAACGCCCAACAGCCTGGTCGTCCGGCAGGCTTCCCTCCCAACTTCCAACCTCCTCCGAACATGCCCAACATCAACTTCTCTGCCCCCGTCATTCGCCTTGGTACGTCCGGACCGAAATCTGCCACTCCAGATACGAGCAAAGAACGCGGTAGCGAGGCCCCGGGAAGACGGGCAGGTCTGGGTTCCACCAGTCTGGAATCCCAGCGTCAGAACGTTCGGGATGCGATGATGCAACTGCAGCCCCCTACCCGCGAGGAAATTGTGCGGACTCTCTTCGTTGGTGGAATTACTGAGGGCGTTGGTGGTGACGAGGGTGTGGAGAAGATTCTCCGTTCGGCGGGCAATCTCAGGCGCTGGATCCGCGCTACGGATGCGGACGAAAAGCCATGCAAATTCGGTTTCGCAGAGTACGAGGACCCCGAAAGTCTAGGGACCGCGGTGGAAGTGCTAAAGGACGTGCAAGTGCCTGTGAAGAGACAGACACCGTCCGAGGGAGATGACAAGGAAGAGCGTGAGGTGGAGAAGAGCACACTACTGGTATGTTAGGTCCAAATCTGAGAACTACGGAGCTAATCGGGTGCAGGTTGTCGTCGATGAAAGCTCCTTGAGTTACCTGGAGCAGTACGAAGCCACCAGAGGCGATCAGGACCCTGCTGAGCGCCAGGCGCGCTTAGATGCTGCACGCAGTACCCTCGCGAACGTCCTCTCTGACTTGTGCCATCCTACATCCCCTACTCAGAAGGAAGATGTTTCGGCAATCGACCGCGAAGGAGACACGGCCATGAAGGACTCAGAAGGTCAGACCGATGGTACGGGAGCGGAGGTTGTCACCATTCCTATCACAGTGGAAGACGAACTTTCCGATATTCCTCCCGAGATGAGAGAGACAGTCGCCAAAGAGATCGCCGCCTTCCGTGAGCGCAGTAACCGTCGGGATATTGAGCGTTTGAAGAGGGAGGAAGAGATCGAGTCCATGGAGAGAGCACGCAATGCAGGCACGCGATTCAACCGACTGGCATCGCCCCCGCCTTCCGCTCCGAGTGGCCCTGCGGCTGGTGCCAATGGAGTCCCACTGGGTCCTCGGGATCGCAGCGTGTCTACGGCGCCTTCTGGCCCTAAGGGCTTTGGCGTGCAGATTCCTAAGGACTACCAAAAGGGTGTGTCTTTTGTCAATGGCGGTTCTATAAACGGGGCTACTACTGTTCACTTTGATCGCGAGGAAGAAGAAACAGACGCTAGTGATGAGGAGTTGGAGCGTCGCCGTCAGGAGAAAAAGGAAGCGGAACTCGAGAAGCAGTTCCTTGACCAGGAGCGCCGCTGGCTGAACCGTGAACGCAGTCGAACTGCCGCCCTGGAGCGCGAAAAGAAGAGAGACAAGGAAGAGGAGGCTAAGATGCAGGAAGTTCGTGAGGAGATGGACAAGCGGTACAGGGACTGGAACGACGATAACGAGGCCGCGCGCAAGGTGGAGGACTATTATGCCGACCGGGGTGCATGGCTACGTAGCCGGGCAGGATTCCGAGCTCGCGAGGTCAGCATGGACGAGGCAGATCGTGCGGCGGAAGAACGCGAACGGGCCCGGTCTGTCCAACAACGGGAGCAGGCCCGCGGTATGGCCGACGACTTCCTTGCGCGCCAGGCGGAAGAGCTGGAGACTCGGAACCAGGCCCCTCGGGAGCCTCAGCGCTTCAAGCTCTCCCTCGGGGCCGCTGCGCAAAAGGCCCAGGCTGCTACATCCCGTCGGACGGTGGCCGAGGTGGAAGGCCTGCTGGAGGACGAGGAAGAGCCTCAGGCCACGGCTCGGCGTCCTCTCATCCCGATCAAGTTCGACAGTGCCGCCGAGGCGGCTGGTCTCTCCGACGAGGAACGGGCACAAGCAGCCCGGCAACTGGCCGCCGAGATCCCGACGGACAAGGAGGGACTCTGGGGCTGGGAGGTCAAGTGGGAGTTTGTGGACGAAACAGTGGTCAGCGAGCAACTCAAGCCGTTCGTCGAGAAGAAGATCGTGGAGTACTTGGGTGTTCAGGAGCAGATGCTTGTGGATGTGGTGGAAGAACATGTTCGCAAGCATGGTCATCCCCAAGAGCTGGTGGAGCAATTGGAGGAGGTAAGCTTACATCTTGCAATCTACTGATGTGTTTCTTCTTGTCTGTCTGGATATCATGCTAATTCTGCTACTTAGGCACTCGACGAAGAAGCCGAGGTGCTGGTCCGCAAGCTGTGGCGGATGATCATTTTCTTCTCGGAGAGCGAGAAGCGAGGTCTTTCTGGATAAATGGTGTATATCTGCTGTTGGGGTTCAGCATCACACGGATGCTGTCTCTATATACCCATGCATTCCGAAGATTGTCTGTACCTAACGCCAGCGATAGTGATTTGAATCTGATATCCGCTCTTAGGAGCAACCTGTATCTTCTTCTGTACCTAAAGCCCATCCGCATCACCCTAATGTAAATCGCGCAAATGACCGAGTCATATTCTGCCGGTAGAAACCCTGCAGACATTTAAGACGCGGATTTATTCTGGCCGGACAGCGCTGGCCTCTGACTGGCGGAGAAACCCAACCCACGCGCTGGAGCAATTCCTCCGCCAATGAGGGGAAATTCCCCACACTGCGTGGAGGGGGAGGGGTGTCTGCCCGCCTTGTATAAGTAACTTCCCCAGCCCAGTGACACTCCTGGTCGCTTCAATTTTGTATTTGGTTTTCTCAATTGTCTTTCGCTACTTTCAGCTATCTTCTGTAGCATCCAATTGCTTTCTTTGCGTGGTCACAGCCTGTGTTGACAGCCCGGAGCTTATATTGTGCCTGCCGACGGCCCCGCATTGCAACTAGATTGCGATTACCTGGAGAGACTTCTCTTTCCAACTCCAATTCCTTTTCAATTCAATTGATCAGAATCAGTCGTCACCATGGTTAAGATCACAAGTTTTACCACGAGGGACGTGAGGTTTCCCGTAAGTCGGCGCACATCTTCTCAGTCACCTAATCTATCTTCATACCTACTCACCAAATGACAGACCTCCCTCGATAAGACCGGCTCCGATGCTATGAACGCCGCAGGCGACTACTCCTCCGCCTACTGCATCATCTACACTGACTCTGACTACACCGGACATGGCATGGTACGCACATAATCCCACTTCCACCTCAGAAACATTGACTAACATTCCCTAGACCTTCACCATCGGCCGCGGCAACGAAATCGTCTGCGCTGCCATCTCCCTCCTCGCTCCCCTCATCGTCGGCAAAGACCTCGACGAACTCACCGCCGACTGGGGTAAGACCTGGCGCTACCTCGTCTCCGACAGCCAACTGCGCTGGATTGGGCCCGAGAAGGGTGTCATTCACCTGGCCCTTGGTGCCGTCGTCAACGCTCTCTGGGATCTGTGGGCCAAGACCCTGAACAAGCCTGTCTGGCGCATCGTCGCGGACATGACTCCCGAGGAGTTCGTCCGCTGCATTGACTTCCGCTACATCACGGATGCCATCACACCCGAGGAGGCCATTGCCCTCCTGAAGGAGGTCGAGTCTGGCAAGCAGGACCGTATCAAGGAGGCGGAGCAGAGCCAGGCTGTACCGGCTTACACTACCAGCGCAGGATGGCTGGGATATGGTGAGGAGAAGCTGAAGGTCCTTCTCAAGGAGAGCGTTGAGCAGGGATACAAGCACTTTAAGCTGAAGGTTGGCGGAAACGTCGAGGAAGACCGCAGGAGATTGGCTATTGCTCGTGAAGCCATTGGTTATGATAAGGGCAACATCCTCATGGTTGATGCCAACCAGGTACCTACCTGCCCTTTCCACTATTCCCATCCATCATCCACAATGCTAATACCTCATGTTAAAAAAAAAACAGGTCTGGTCCGTCCCCGAAGCCATCACCTGGATGCAACAACTCGCCGAATTCAAGCCCTGGTTCATCGAAGAGCCCACCTCCCCCGACGACATCCTCGGCCACGCCGCCATCAAGAAGGCCCTCCAAGACACCCCCTACGGCCCCATCGGTGTCGCCACCGGTGAAATGTGCCAGAACCGCGTTGTCTTCAAGCAGCTCCTGCAGGCAGGAGCCCTGACCGTTCTGCAGGCCGACGCCTGCCGTGTCGGTGGTGTCAACGAAGTCCTGGCCATCTTGCTGCTCGCGCGCAAGTTCGGCGTGCCGATTGTGCCCCACTCCGGTGGTGTCGGTCTGCCTGAGTACACGCAGCACTTGAGCACGATCGATTACGTGGTGGTTAGTGGAAAGAAGAGTGTGTTGGAGTATGTGGATCACTTGCACGAGCACTTCGTGCACCCGTCTAGCGTCAAGGATGGATACTATGTCACTCCCATGGAGCCCGGGTATAGTGTTGAGATGAAGGCGGAGAGCATGGATGCGTTTTCGTTCCCTGGTGAGGAGGGCAAGAGTTGGTGGAGGTCGGAGGAGGCGAAGACCATTTTGGAGGGACCCCGGATAGTATAATGGAGAGATAAAAAAGGTTTGTGTTGTATATATGTGATATGAGTTTTGTTTTTATATGATGTTTAGAATTATGAGATGCATGCATACATTACATTGGCCAACATAAAATGAGGTATATTGATATAAGGTCGCTAGCATCGACCTGTCTGGGATCAGTTCTCCAATAGTATATTTTACACTCATAAACAGTTCATGTATATAATACAGTATTCATATTCGGGATGACTGCAGTCCCTTCGTATGCCAGTCCAGATGGTGCTTTCCCATCTACCGCCACTTGATACCAAAGATCTTCAGCGCCTGTCCAACACCAGGCTTCTCGCGCGCTTCTTCGAGCACAACCCGAGAATGTCCTAATACAAGTCAGTTCAACCCTCCCAGAATATCAAAGTCTATGAACCAAACATACCCGGCACTTCCAAAGCAAGAAGCTGATACTCCCAGTGATGCTCATTCAACGGCTTCATCATGTGTACAAAGACAGTTCCGGAATTAAGCGGACCCTCGACCTATATCACAACGACCAATCAGTATACCACACCACCCCCAAAGGATAAAAGAGAGAGCATCGCATACATGAAAATTCATCTTCAAATGCTCGCGACCCAGCCTATCCTGATAAACGGATGTCCTATATCCCCATTAGCACCACACCACAACCCCCCTCCCTACCGAGAGGCAGTAAAAATAGATAGAAGTCAACATACGCAATAGGCCTATTCCTCGCCCACCTACTCCACGTATTCTCCCCATACGCCTTGATCTCCCTCCGATCACCCAGGAGATCCGTACACCGAGCATCATCCTTGATGCGCTCCACCGCCTTCTCAAACTGCCATGTCTTGCTATTCGGGGAAAAGACCTCCGTGAAGAGAAGGTAGAAGACTCCGCCCTAATCGCAAGACACACACACACACACATATACTATCAGCAATCACTCCCACACACTAACTGTTCAGCTTGAACGAACCGTCAACACAGCCCCCGCAATAATCACCACGAAATTCACCGACTGCTGCGTCGCCCTCGCGACTTTTTCCCGCCCGCTTAATTCTCCCCACTCGTAGCGTCCATCGTCGGATAGAACAGTCACGTTTCGTCGTTTCGGTGCGGCGCCTTGTGTCGTGGCGTATTTTCGTAGGACTAGTGATGATGCTGTTGTTCCTGTTGTTGTTGTGGTTGTTGTTGTGCTGCTGCGGGGAAGAAGACCGATGTGTTGGAGTTGGAGCCGGCGCAAAGCGGCACGGTTACTACTAGGTCGTAGTAGTTGTTGGTAGGGCGCTGTGGATGGGAGCATTGTGGGTGTTGTTGTTGTATTGGTTGGTCCGGTTGATTTAGGTGTTGTTGACCGTCATACCACAGGTCGTCCCCGTCGAAATCCAGCTGTTGTTCACCGCGGGATATTGGTATCATGAAATTATTTGTCGGATGGGACTTTAGCAGAGAGAGCCGTGGATGATGGGCGTGTGGGGAATGGAGTGGGTCACGTGGTAAATCCACTTCCGGCGGTGTTTCAGCCGCGGATGTTTGCAAAGTTTCGGGTATGGATGGAGTAGTAGGGGCCGTGTGTGTATTTGTAGTACGGAGGGTCAGGGACCAGGACGGGATTTATTGTTGTTGGAAATAGGACCAAGTTGCTCGGGGATTTATGTCTGACATGATATGTAAATAGAGTGATTAGATGAGATAAATCATTCTGATGGAATCTAAAAAACACCTTATAAGCATGTCCTCAATGATAATGGCTGTGAACATCCCTCGCCACTAGCGGCTGTTCTAGACGTGCCACCCCCCGAAATTCAGACCTGAAGTTTAAAATTACCGGATCATCCTGCAAATCTGGCAGGGTCACAAAACGGGGCACTTCCCAATCCCAATCCGACCACGTTCGTCTCTCCCGCTTCGCCTTTTCGGATCTCCCTCTCCCTCTCTCTTCCTCCCCGACCTCTCCGTTGTGTCATAATCCTATTCCGCCTGCTGGCCCGTTCCTTTTCCTCTCCCTCGGGTCCTTCTCTATCATATTCAATTCGCCCATCATGAGTGCCTCCAAAACGGAGTCTCAGAAGATCTTTGAGAAGCTAAAACTCAAGCCCGCAAACAAGGCGCGCAGTGCCCCTCCCCGCCAGACTTAGTTATTATTATTACTATTACTCCGACCAGCCATTCTAACTCTTGCTTTTTTTTTCACCTCCACAGATCTGCTTCGATTGCGGCTCCAAGAACCCAACATGGTCGTCTGTGCCTTTCGGTATCTACCTGTGCCTTGACTGCTCGGCCAATCACCGTAACCTGGGCGTGCATATCTCCTTCGTCCGCTCCACCAACCTCGACCGTATGCTTCATCGCATCTCCTGACTTCCATGTCCGTCGATGCTAATGTGATACGTGCAGAATGGCAATGGGAACAGCTCCGGGTCATGAAGGTCGGCGGTAACGAGTCCGCTACCAAGTACTTCCAATCGCACGGCGGTTCTGCCGCTCTTGCCAGCAAGGACGTCAAAGTCAAGTACACCTGCAATGCCGCCGTAAAGTACAAGGAGGAGCTGAAGAGACGCGCTGCGCAGGATGCGCAACAGTTAGTGGTCCCGGGTGCTCTGCAAATCTTCCAGTTCTAATGCTTCTTGTTACGCATAGGTACCCCGGAGAGGTTGTGATTACCGATATCCCCGCTGGCACTCCGTCCAACGGCTCCAGTACCCCCGCCGCTGAGGATGACGACTTCTTCTCCTCCTGGGACAAGCCCTCCATCAAGCGCCCCAGCAACCCCCCTTCCCGTACCGGTACCCCTCCGGTTGTCAGCCGCACTGGCTCGCCCTTCCTGAACTCCGGCGCAAACGGTTCCCGCTCCAAGTCGCCCCTGTCCGCTTCCGACAAGGACAACTCTTCCCCTGCCCCTACCGCCATCCGGGCCAGCGCTGCTGTCCGTAAGACCCCTTCTACCACCACTGCCAAGAAGGGCAGCGTGTTGGGCGCCAAGAAGGCCCCTAAGCTGGGGGCTAAGAAGATCGGCGCCGCGGAAATTATCGACTTCGATGAGGCTGAGAGAAAGGCCAAGGAGGAGGCTGAGCGCATTGAGAAGCTGGGCTACGACCCCGAAGCCGAGCAGGCTGAGGCTGATGCTAAGGCCAAGACGACCACCACCGCTGCCACGGCGATCGCCTCGCCCACTCCTATCAGCCCTAGCAGGAACACCCAAGAACGCAACTCGGGCGATGTTGAGCGTCTCGGCATGGGAATTGGAAGGCTCGGATTCGGACAGACTGTCGGCGTGAAGCCGGCTGCCCCGAAGAAGCCGGGCTTCGGTGCTGTTGCCCCTCGGTCTGCAGCTGATGGTATGCGACTTGCCTAGTTCTTATAGTGGTTAGGATGACGACTAACGATGTTTACAGATGAGGAGTTGAAGCAGGCCAAGTCTCGCTTCGGTAGCCAGAAGGGTATCTCTTCCGACGAATTCTTCGGACGCGATCGTTTCGACCCCAATGCTCAGGCTGAGGCCAAGGAGCGCCTTCGTCAATTCGACGGCGCCCAGGCTATCTCGAGCAACTCCTACTTTGGACGTCCTGAGGATGATCTTCCCGCTGCCGATGATACCTACGGTGATCTTGAAAATGCTGCCAAGGACTTTGTGCGTCGCTTCGGTATCACCGCGGGTGATGACCTTGAGAACCTGACGCAGCTCGTTGGAGAGGGCGCAACTAAACTGCAAGGTCAGTTTATCCCCATTGTCTTCACGCCGACTCTTACTCACAGGATATATAGGCGCTATACGCAGCTACCTTAACAGCTAGATATGTGCGCGACAACTCACTGATAATCTTTCAATTCTTACCTCCGGCTTATCCTGACCCTTGTTAGCCAGCTTTCTCCTCGATCTCCTTCATCTATGGCGTTTCTGTCTCCGTCTTCTATTCCCCTGATTAGTACCCTCATCAACAGAGCTTTTCGACAACATGGCTGGCGCAGTGCTCTCTATTTGCTGAGACTAGCTGGGTGCGCCAGGTTCCCATTTACTGAATCAACGGACCAGGTCGGTCTCGCTGGCACCTATGCTGCTCTTCTGCGTTAGTTGAAATCATTAATTGCCTTCCACTGAACATGTTTGGCTGCTTTGAATCCTTGTATATTCATCGTTGAACTTAGTAGGTTACGAGTCTAGAACTGAATTAGTGAATGAAAAGCCAACTCCATTGCTTCAACATGCACGCAACAAGTATGTTGTTTATGTCAACAACCTTCTGCGGTACACAGCACAGGCGCTCCTTCCCTAGCCTCCCCTTCCATCTACCATATATAATCTCTTCATCACGAAGACAGATGCCCACCAGTCCTCCTCCCTCTTCTCCGCCTCATAACCCTAATATCCATACTTACTGCACACCCTAAACACCTTCATTCTTAATCCTCACCAATCCCCATCCAAAGCATCATGTCCAGCCAAACGCCCCTCAACACCGGAACACATACCACCTTCTACACCGAAAGAAGAGCCCCCTACCAAACCGAAGTCCCCCTCCGACCAGAAACACCACCACCTCCTCCACCACCAGACTCCCCCACCACCACCATCCCCAAGCCGAGAGCCCCCTACCCATCCTGGAAAATCAGCCACGTCTGGTTCCACCTTCCCCCCGGGGCCGAAGACTTCCACGACAACACCTGGCCACCATACCGGCATGGGCTCTGGATCGAGCACGGCCCCGCAGGCCGCGGCCACCTGCACCACGTCGTCGGCAATTCTTCTGACCGGGAAGGCCTTATCTACGCCGTCAAACACTTTAAGCACCCCATCACCAACGAACCCACGTACGCGGGCGAGACCGTCATCGGCTACCTCAGCCCAGAACGCTACCCGGATCTTAAGCAGGCGTTCTTGACCTGTCAGCCTCCGTTGCAGCAGAAGAAGTATAACAGGCGCACGGATGTCACGGAACCCTTCGGGGTTAATGAGGATGGTCAGACGGTGTTTTATAGCCAATATAGGCTGGATAATTTCATGTTTCCGCCGTTGAAACTGGATCGGTATTTTGTTAAGTTGCAGTTGTTGGAGAAGGTTAGGGAGATGAAGTTGAGTAGGAGCCAGGCGGGGGATTATGTCGTTCTTAGTGGGTTTTTTCCGGCTGAGGAGTGGGATGAGCCTGAGGTGTTGGGATTGGGGTTGGGTTCTGCTGGGAAGGGGAGTGGGTGATGGGTTGGTGGATTATCTTTTGGTGGATTATATAGGTTTCTGATCTGTTTGGTTCAGGTTGGATGACTGGCTTGGTGATCTATCTTTGGTTGTGGGGAGGCTCTGGTTTGGGTTGGTTGGGTTATACCCATCATTCGCTATGTGCTGTTTTGCTTCGTTGGATGGCACTCATTCATGTGTGCTTTTGTTTGCTCGTAGCGTAGCTAGGATAGATTGCTGAACATATATTCTTTCATCCATCCACTTACCCCTCATGGACTTTAGTATAGATGTGGATGTTATTTGATTGACAAGATGCCAACCGTATACTCATCATCACAGGATAATTGACTCAATCCTGCCAATAATTATCTACAATCAATATGATTATCCGGGTTTGAGCCCTTCCCAACGCCCAAACAAGTTGGGAAACCAATTCGCCAGTCCCTTCCCCCCTATACACAATACAACTCTATCCCATCCACAATCCTATAGTTGAATATACAAGCCCACAAAACTTCCCACTTTTCACATCCATCCCCATCAAACCACCCCCCTATAAATCGCATCCGCCACCCTCCCAACCTGCCACATCTCCTTGACATCATGCACCCTTACAATATCCGCACCCCCCGCAACACTCGCCGTCACCGTCGCCGCCGTTCCCCAAGTCCTATCCTTGGCCTCCTTGACCCCCGTCAACCTGCCCACGAACCTCTTCCGACTCGGGCCCATCAACCACGGGAAATACTCCAGACCCTCAATCCCCGTCCTCAACTTATTCAACTCCCTCAAGATAGTCAAATCATGAGGTTCATTCTTCGCGAACCCTAACCCGGGATCTAATATCATCCTCCACCGTCTAATCCCCGCTGCTTCTGCGGCGGCGACCCGGTCGAGGAGTTCATTGCCTACGTCTTGGATGATTCCGTTGGGGTAGTCGGTTAACTTTGTCATGGTGGAGGGTGTGCCGCGCATATGCATCAATATGACTGATTTTCCGGTCCTCGCCATGGTAGGTAGCATCTCGGGGTCGAGGAGACCCGCTGAGACGTCGTTGATGATGTCCGCGCCGGCGGCGCAGGCTGCTTCGGCGACGCGGGCCCGGTACGTGTCGATGCTGATGGCGATGTGGGCGGCCTCGGGGATGGTGGTTCGGATGTGTCTGATGGCGGGGATTACTCGGGATAGTTCTTCGGATTCGCTGACCGGGGTGGAGCCTGGGCGGGTGCTTTCGCCGCCGATGTCGATTATGGTGGCGCCGGAGCGGATCATGTTGTGGACTGTTGTGGTTAGGGTGCTCAGGTCGGTAGGGGAGTGTGTGCCGCCGTCGGAGAAGGAGTCGGGGGTTAGGTTGAGGATGGCCATTATGTGGGTTGGGCGGGACGGGTTGGTGCTGTGGATTGGGGGGAAGAGGGGCGATATGGGGGTTGTGGTGTGGGGGGTGGGAGATGGAGGTGGGAGGGTTCTGAGGTGGTTGAGGTAGCTTTGGGAGTGGCCCAGGAAGGGGGGCGTTCGTGGGGGATTAGTCTGTTGGTGGTTAGTGGTGATTGGAATAGGGAGGGGAAGGGGGAGAACGTGCTGGCAGAGGGGTCGGAGGACAAAGTCGCGCTCGAGCATCAGTTTGTGCGGAATGTCGAGACGCTCGTGCGTGAATATTTGCTCGTCGTAGAGGAGGATGTCCAGGTCGATTGAACGTGGGCCTTTGTCGATGAGCTTCTTCCGGCCGAGGCCTAGCTCGATGGCTTGCAGGGTGTCCAGCAGTTCCATGGGAGATAGGCTAGTTTCGACCTGATGAAGATGTTAGAGTAGTTGAGAGTGTTAGGGGGGTTGAGACGTACCTCGCACACTCCGTTGATGAAGGGGTCCTGGTCGAGGACGTACATCGGGGCTGTCTCGAAGAGGGAGCTCGTCCGCTTGATTCGAATGTTGGCGCGCTCCAATTCGCGGCAAGCAGCTTCGATCATATCAATGCGGTCTCCGACATTGCTGCCAAAGGCAATGAATGCCCGATGGGTGGAGGGATGTACTCGATCCATGCTGGGGTTGAATCGATGTGCTCGGCTGGTTGTAAGCTTGCGAGTGTGACACAGGGGCTTTAGGAGTTCATGGCGGGATCTCTTTGCAGTGATGCCACTCAATGTGCCTGGGTTGAGACGATTGATGTGCAATGGCTCTGGTAGTGAGTTAGTCCAGCTCTAGCTACTACGCATGTGAGGTTTGCGATCCAGATCCTATCTACAAAATCATTGTCGTCAAGGATAGGACTGTCACCATGATGGACATAACAAGCACATGCTGTACTAATGAAGTCTAGGAATGATCGTACCAGATACAGATGAGTTTCTATAAAAGTTAGACTGTGATATCTCCAATCAAATTAATGAAAGACCTGCCTTGCTACCAAACTGCCAAACGATCTGCTAAGAATTGATCCGCCTCTACATGGTTGAGAATGCAGCAGGCTTGTGCTGGGGAACCGACAAGCGCGGACAGCTGATGTCAAGGCGACAGCATTGCTATGCCAGGTTACCGTTGGCTTGGGTCTCATACTTTCTGCAGCAGCCACGGAGCTCAGAAACGAAGTGCAGAGGCGAGATCTACAGCGAATCCGGAATGAAAATACGTCATGCGCGGGCCGTGCTACTCCCGTCACCTGACTCCGGCTGTGACAGCCTGAGGCGTGAACAACACTGTTTACTAGCCACACTTCACCAGCCACCACGACTAATCATAGGCTAACTGAGAAAAGGCAAAGTGTGGTAACCCCGCAACGGGAATCAGGTGGTTCGGCTGTAAACTCGGGGTAGTCAGCCGTCAATAGCTTGGTCCCTCACACGCCCTGGACCGAGGCTCGTGCTGGTCACTCTTTGTCCTCGGCTCCTCCAGCCTGCACACTCACTCCCTTATAACTGTGCTTGGATACCCTGGGTCTCCGCATCCCTTGTTTACTCGCTAACTGACATATTATTACCTTGTACCTTATTTTTGGTCTCCGATCCACCTGTCATCCATCTATCGCCTCTTCAGATACTCCAAAATGGCTTCTCCGCGTGAGTTCCTCGCCACCGCCTCTTCATATGCACTATGCAATGCGCCCGAATCTTCGGGGATCTTGAATACTAATGCCATCCTGCTTTTGTAGAAAAAATCCGTACTACTCTTACTGATCTGCTCAAGATCAACCACCCCGTCTTCCTGGCGGGTATGAACGTGGCCGCCGGCCCTAAGTTGGCCGCTGCGGTCACCAACGCCGGTGGTCTGGGAGTCATTGGAGGTGTCGGATACACCCCTGACATGCTCCGTGAGCAGATTGCAGAGCTCAAGAGCTTCCTGAATGACAAGAACGCTCCCTTTGGTGTTGATCTGCTGCTCCCCCAGGTCGGTGGAAGCGCCCGCAAGACCAAGTGAGACACCCATGTGATTGTATGACAAACGGAAACCCGAGATGCTAATGCGCTTTCCGTTCCTCAGCTATGACTACACCAAGGGCAAGCTCAACGAACTTGTCGACATCATTATCGAAAGCGGCGCTAAGCTCTTCGTCTCTGCCGTCGGTGTGCCCCCCAAAGCTGTCGTGGACAAACTCCATGCTGCAGGCATCCTGTATATGAACATGATCGGTCACCCCAAGCACGTCCAGAAGTCCCTCGATGCCGGCGCGGATATTATTTGTGCTCAGGGTGGTGAAGGTGGTGGTCACACTGGCGATGTTCCTACCACGATCCTCATTCCTACCGTAGCCAAGCTCTGCCAGGGCAAGAAGAGTCCCTTGACTGGTCTGCCCGTGCAGGTGGTTGCTGCCGGTGGCTTGTACAATGGCAACTCGGTGGCTGCTGCCTTGATGCTTGGCGCATCGGCCGTGTGGGTTGGTACTCGCTTCATCCTGGCTGACGAGGCTGGTGCCCCCAAGGCTCACCAGGAGGCTGTCCGCACTGCTGGCTTTGACGACACAATCCGCACTATTATCTTCACGGTAAGTTCAACGAAACACTACACCTAATTCATATTCTAACTTCTTTAGGGCCGCCCGCTCCGTGTCCGTAACAACGAATACATCAAGAACTGGGAAGAGAACCGCCAAGACGAGATCAAGAAGCTCACTTCCCAGGGTATTATCCCGGCCGAGCACGACATGGAGAACCTCCCTGATGATGTTGATGACGAGACCCTTGAGAATGCTCGCCCCTTCCTGATGGGCAAGGTTGCTGCCGTTGTAAACGAGAAGAAGCCTGCCAAGGCTATTGTTGATGAGCTTGTGGACGATGCTGCTGCTCTGTTGCAGAAGGGCAACAAGATGTTGGCCAAGTTGTAAACTTTTCTCATTCCAGATACCATTTGCATGCATATTGTCAATGTCAGTTTAAGACAGTTGAACTGTTCATGATTTGATTCATTCATACTTCTACCGAATACCAGTGAAACTGTTTTGGCGGATGCTTGCTCTTTAACCTAGCTATACATTAAGAATTGAAATACAAACATTCTACACTTCTACAGACAATGGCTTACTATACTCCTAATCCGGCTTATCCTATACCATTGAGATCAATACAGATAGTACTAGATCTCATCATTCCGAAAATGCACTATCCTTCCCCCCTTCCATACTAGTCCCTCGCAATTTTCCACGCAAGACCTTGAATCTCTCAATGCCTATCCATAGCCGACGCCTGCAACCGCATTCTACTCCCTGTGACACAAGACGATCTCGACGTCCATCACCCCACAGACGGAAAGACAAGGCAAGGAAGCACCCACCACCCAAGTGCCTGTGCCATCCTCAAGTAAGGCCGGATGTACAAAATATGCATCCGAAGTTGCACAAGTGTTAAGATGCAAGATCGTACTAATGATCTAGTCGGGCCAGCATTGCAGCTCGGGGTAGACCTGGTATGTGGCTTATAGAGCGCAGGTAGATTAGGGCTATGGGACAATGTCAGATTTAGTTTTTCCGTGGATATTTGGTATGTGAGATATGAGTGCTAGTGACACAGACAAAGAAGGGGCGTTGGAATGTCTCTTTACTAAAAGTAGAAGCTATCATGAAGTTGATCTAAGCTCATCCCAAAAATCAGGCTATCGAGGCCGTCATGTGGGGAGAGCGGGTCTCACGGTCTCACCCTTCCTACCACTAATTGACATATCCGACACTCTTGGGCACTACTGCATACTATCGTTTTAATCCACCTCCACATCTACCATTGCGAATTCCTGCTTGCCATGTCCCGATCCGCAACTTCATTTTCAGGTACCACCCTGCAAACAGACCACATGGCTCTGCAATTCAAGGAAACCTGGTATGACAGCCGCTTCCAAGATCCACCATGGAACGCAAACGGCACGAAAAGTATATTCCTCGCTACTGTTGAATCTTGAAGCTTACCGTCTGAGCTTCATCATAACCAGTTTTGAGTGACTGGTTCCAGGTTTGTCGACCAATTCGCAGCGCCGGGTGTTTCTATCCTGCACATTTAAGGGTTACTCTCAAGGCCGAACTTTCAAACTCGATGAGCACTCTTGAGACTAGTATTGACTTGCCTGGATTCAAAGGGGCTTCTTCTCCGAGACTTGATTGATATTCGATATTTACGCCCAAGCAGAAAACATGTTACTAGAAGTGGATGGTTCATGATGTTCTTGGATATACTTCGCCACTACCGGTAGGTCATACAATTAGGTCATTCAAAAGTAACCGAAGTCAATTCTGACACTCTATTTATATCTAGGCCTCTGTTCATCTATCATGGTACCTCCTATACCAACAGATTGTCATCTACACTACATCCACTTGCAAAGCTCAAGAACAGACAGATACGATGAGCGACATCGGCCATTCGGACAAAATCTCCTCTATTGAAAAGCCTGCACTTTTCAAACTGCCAGATAAAGGCGACTACAGCTTGGGTGCCGAACCGCCTTCTGCATCCAACCGTCTAACCTACAACACTGACGACGCTTCTACCCTGGAGCGGTTCAAAATCCGCGAGCTCTGCGAAGGCTGGCCTCTTCACCGCGATGCCTGCGAATGGTCTGATCTGAGGGAGATATTCGATCCCAAGGCCTTCATAAATATCAGCTGGCAGCAAAACTACCGAGACAAGGCCATTGATACTTGGGCTGAAGGATGGGCTAAGGGTGAATTTATTTGCCATCGGGTTCTGGGTCACGCCGTAGATATCAAGGGTGATCGTGCCATCGATAAAATGAAGTGTACGATTTCCTGGCGTTTTGCGGATGAAAATGGTGTTGAATGGGATAGCGGCTGGTAAATCTCTCCCGTCTCTGTTATGAGCCTACTAACATGGATGGTTTTAGTGACTGTCGCTTTGGATATTTCTTGAAGAAGCAGCCGCAGGGATGGAAAATCCTCTGCAATCACCCCATCTATGAAAAGGACAAATGTGTACCAGTGGACCCTACTCGACCTCCACATATTGACCATGAGTCTCTAGACAAGGAGCCCAAAGGCTACCGGTTTCTGGCTTATGGTATGCGCCGGCTGGGCTATCCGATTAAGCAGAATTTGCCCCAGTTGTTCGGCAAAGAGCGAGACATGGTATACAAGGAAATGGCGGAGTGGCTGGATGGTAAGGATATTGATTTCTCTAAGGATGACTTTTGACGTATCTATTCTGCGCGGCATCCCATTCAAGCTTTCTCAAACACACGTCTCTAGTTAACTATTTCACTTTTGGTGGGTGTATGTCGCTTCACTTGCTGGCGAACTGTATCAAGATCTCATGTCCTTTGACTTTGGAATTGAACCATTCTTTTATTTCGATTCGGTCCTCCACAATCGACGCACCACGCAGCACATCTTCTTTGACCACGGTGAAAATAGCCATGGTGACTTCATACATGGCCAACGACTGGGCAATGCATGCTCTAGTCCCTTTGCCAAACGCAAAGAATGCCGTGAGCATTCTGTCGTCCGCGTTATCCCAACGTTCAGGAAGGAAACGATGTGGCTCAGGGAACACGCTGCTATCTTGATGCAGCTGAAAGGCCGCAACACCGACACTCGTACCAGCCGGGAAATAGTAGTCATGATACTTCCAGCCTCCAGCCGGAACTGAACGAGGCAGGCGAATTGGATTGGCCCAGGAAAGACGAAGGCCTTCTCGGACGACACCGCGCAGGTATACGCACGCGGTTGGATCCTCGTCATTTCCAATGCTCTCCATGACTGCCTGTCTGAGACGATCATAACTACAGGAAAGCCCAGTTAGTGACATTGGTGTACAACTCTGGCCTTATTGTAACTCACACTTCTGGGTGTTTTGCAAGATACCACATGATCGTCGCGGTGTTCATTCCCGTGGAATCGGTCCCTGCAAAACAGACATCTTTGACTTCAATCCGAGACTGTGCTATGGTCGACTTCTCCAACAAACGGCTCTGATAGCTTCCACTTTTTGGTATCGCTCTCTGGACAAGCCTTCTGGCGTACTGGTCGATCAATCCGTGCGACTGCTCCACATTCTTGGTCGCGCTCCAACGCTCAATGACCTCCATGACAAAGCCACCGATTTTCCCCGGCACGATATTGAAATAGGCACCTACTCCAACGAAGGAATCCACAAACGGCGATGCCGACATTGACTCTGAATCCTCCGTGATGGCGCCGTACCTCTCGTGGAACAGATACGTACTTACAGCGTCAATTGCCATGGCACGCGTCACATTAAGCACGTTTACTGGTCTGCCAGTGCGCGCTTCAGTCTGCAGTCTTTTCGCGAAGTCGTCAAAGACCTCGCGTAAGGCTTCTTGAGAGTTGCGAATTGATGTCGTAGAGAAAAGAGGGGCGACAGCTTTCGCTCGTGTTGCTCGCTCAGGCAAAGTCAGACTGGAAAATATGGTCGTGTGTCCGTCGATGTCAAACTTGGAATATGCTGGTGTCTTGGGGAAACCACCGCGAGCAACGTAAATTGGCTCCAGCGCATCTTTATCGGCGATGTCGACGTCATTGGGAGCGACTCGTAAGACTGGGCCGTATTTGCGATGCAAATCATATACTACTGTACATTCGTCGCCGATATATGTGTGGTATGCTAACCATAGCGAAGTGCAGGCTGCGAGCTTAGGACCAGGTACCGATGATAGAGGATGAAGGTAGATGCGATAGAAGCATCTGCAGAATATGACGCTAGAAATTGCGACGACCACCAATGATAGCGATTGGGCTATGAGCCCTTGTAAAGTTTCGATGTGAGCCATTGTAAGAGGTCAACAGTGACCTCGAATCATGTGTGCGCTGATTGTGATTGACCGAATATATAGCAAGAAATTGGGTGCGTACCCCGCAAGTTAGTTCACCACGATCGGAGTCACAGATGAGTCATGCTCCGATCGCGCTGTCGACTCGGTCAGACAGAAACTACTACAGCTGGAAGACATGTCGGAGCGTCCGAAAAAAGCAATAAAGTTACTCCTTTGATAGGCCCAACGCCCCTTGCTGAAGATGCGCGTCCTACCAATGGCGGTTCTCCAACTCGGTATGTCACCGGTCGATCCGCTGATAAGCACCACTTGGCAAGCTGAGCTGCAGAGCCAGCCGACAGACACGGTACATTATCGACACGAGCTTATCATGCTGTCCCGGCTGGATATATAGCAGATATGTCGTCAATCTGATCGGCCTCAAGACCCTTTATGCACCGTCACCACCATCGGCATCATGTCTGTGAAGCCCAAAGATGTCTTCGGTCATGGCACCGAAGAAGACCTCACGCTTGAGCACTTGGGCTATCAGCAAGGTATGACTGGATTCATGGTGGATTCTCGAATTAGAAGTGTATTGCCTGACACTCATGACTCCAGAATTCAAACGGTCGTTCGGCCTCTTGGATATGATAGGCTTCAGTTTTAGTATCGTTACCTGGTATTCCACACCGATCCTACCATGTCGAACGGCTGACTAACATCTACGACAGCTGGAGTGCACTGAGTGGTGTATTCATCATTGGAGTAGATGCCGGTGGTCCACCGGTTATGCTCTTTGGATGGCTAGGCGTGTGTGTAATCACCTTTGCGGTTGCCCTATCCATGGCAGAATGGTGCTCAAGGTGGCCCGTGGCCGGAGGGCAGTATTCATGGGTCTTTCTGCTAGCACCGCCAAAGATCGCTCGAGAGATGTCGTACATAACGGGGTGGTTTATGCTAATGGGTAAGCTATGGTATATCTCCAGAATATCTGTGTCACGATGCTTAGTCGAGGACAGGTATTCTCGCCATGGGCTCTGCGAACAACTCGTTCGCAGCCAACTTCATCCTCGGACAAGCAAACCTGGTATATCCCGGATATGTAATCGAACGGTGGCATACTGTCTTGGTCACTTATGCAGTCGCAATCTGGGCTCTTCTGGTCAATATATTCTTGCCCCACCTGCTCAACCGCCTATCCCGGGCCATCCTGCTGTGGAACGTTTGCTCGTTCATCATCATCGTCGTGGTTCTACTAGCAACCAACAAAAGCAAACAAGATGCCTCTTTCGTATTCCAAGATTTCCAGAACACGACCGGCTTCGGATCCGCAATGGCAACAATGGTCGGAATCCTTCAAAGCTTTTTCGGCATGTGCTGTTACGATACTCCAAGCCACATGACCGAGGAAATGACGCATGCTTCGCGGGATGCACCCAAAGCCATGGTCATGTCCGTTGGTATGGGTGCTGTTACGGGTTTTATCTTTCTATTGACGCTCTGCTTCTGCATCGGCGACATTGATGCTACTGCAAACTCCTCCACCGGTGTCCCCGTGTTGCAGATTTTCTACGACTCAACCCAAAGCAAAGTCGCCGCCTGCTTTATGACCAGTATGATGACGGTAATCATGATGGTAGCCTCAGTGAGTCTTGTGGCGGAGGGCTCCCGGGCACTATTTGCATTCGCACGGGACCGGGGAATGCCATTCTCTGGAATCTTATCCCGAGTGGAGAAGAGGAGAAAGATCCCGATATATGCGATATTGTTCACTGTTGTGGTACAAATGGCTTTCAACTCGATCTACTTCGGCACCGTCACTGGTTTTAATACAGTTGTGTCTATTGCGACCACGGGATTCTGTGAGACGTTCCCATCGAAGTTTGATTGATTGTGAGGACAAAGCTGACTGCGTCACTATGATAGATGTCTCCTACGCACTAGTCCTTCTTGCTCGCCTCCTCGGATATTTCTTTGGCCATGACATCGCTCCCGTCGACGGTCCTTACTCTTTCCCGTTGCCCATATCGCTCAGTCTACACGGCCTGGGATTCCTGTTTCTGTTCTTTGCATTCATTACCTTCAACTTTCCTTCAGATGCACCAGTCACTCCGGATTCGATGAACTACACCAGTGCGGCGATTGGGCTGATTGCATTGCTGAGCATTCTCACGTGGTTCACTACCGCTCGGAAGCAGTTCAAGGGACCGGCTGATGTGCAGGGTTTGGTTGTAGATGGAGTGGAGCAGGTGGGAGAGGTAGGGGAGGCGGGTGCTAGTTGTTCGGAGAAGGGAAAGTCAGATACTTGATGGACTTTTCCATGTCACGGTTTTCGGTATATATTGTAGGCATAAGATGTGAACGGATTTAGTACTCATGAACCAGAATGTTGGTGTTCCGTGGATTCAATGATCACCCCGTGCCATGCATATCAGGATTTAAGCTTGATATATTTAACCCATCACGACTGCAATAGCCGATGGTTTTCATACATACCGACACACTCATCATATGTCCCCGCTAATTACATGTCCATTAGTATCATTACTCCGGAGAATTAGTTACTCTCATGATACCCATAGGATTAACTAGTACTACTTATGACGCAGATCACGGAAAGATGCCGAAGCCGATGCTAAATATATATCTGACATCCGACAGCAGCACAACTGAGAGAGTAGCAATCTCAACATTGAACGTCAGTCAACAGCTGGACTATCGAGCACTATGAAGTACTTGACCTTTTATAATGCACATCCTACATGACAATAACCTACTACAAAGAAGCAACCTCCAACTCCTCAACATCTCGCACAACTGAAAACCCACGTTATCCCTCTCTCCCTTGGCGCCTCACCTAAGTGAGCTAACCAATCTCCGAACCCACATTTTCAACGCCCCAGCGTTCTAAGGAGAATAGCCACAACATTTTACCTACAAGCAGTCTAGTGTCACAGTCCACAAGTCACTCAGTCAAACAGGCACCCGTATTCGAGTTTCGAACCATTACTCCGTATAAATCTAGCAAGTAAGCTAGTTCTGAAGTAGTTAGCTAGTGAGGCATGTCTGTACCTGCATATTCCTTATCCTGAAAGGAGTCTAGGTATTTTGTGGTTAGTACGTATCTCCAACTGCCCCAAAGGATAATAGTTGTGGATGGTGGAAAGATATTGACGGGCGGGAAAAGAAAAAGCCTCAAGGACAACTTTAACCAATCTGATTTTGATCTTTACCGCGGAGTTCGTATAGAAATCAAATCTGTGACTCACTAACCCTCAATAGCGAACTAAAATTTCGCCCAATTTAGAACGAAAGAACGAGAGAAAAAGAGAAGAAGAATGGAATAAGTTTAGTTGGTTATGGCTTCGGCTCGGCAAAAACCCCCGCTTAGTAACTGTCTACTACAGTTCCATTAACTAACTTAACTAACTAGTAACTAATTAACTGGTTGGTTGGCTATTTGGTTGGCTGGTACTTGGCACACTATCCTACGAAGCATATAAAAACCCACGGTAGCATAAAATGGTAATGCTCGGCAGACTCGGGAAACCGACCCGATACTGAGTACTTAAGTTGAGAGCTGAATCGGGACTGGTGAGACTGACTGCGTTGGGATTGGCGGGTCGAACCGTCCCATCCATCCATTCTTTCATTCATTGATTAGTGATTAGAAAGTATGGAAGGGAAAATGAAAATTTTTTCTATCGAGGGCACTAGAACGGGTTATCCGACGCGTAGGTTAGGAAGGTCATTCGGGGTTGGGGAGACGCGTTCGGTACCGTTCTTTTTTGAGTGTGTTCTTTCATGGATTTGGGTATGATGGATTGATAATTATTATTAGTTATTTTGGGTTAAGGGATTATGTGCAGTTATGTATAGATAAATCTTAATGTAGGTGATATTAGATGAGTCTATCTCTATATCATTTTTTGAGAAAGAGGAAGAAAGACTCTTCCGTGTCTCAGCTTGAAAGGGAGGGGCTGGGCACGCAGGTACATGCCTACTTTGGAATTCGTCTACTACAAGCACGCGACGACGGGAAAACGTCTTTCCAATTTTTTTCTAGGTTACTTTCCCGAAAGTTACTGTTGGAGTCACCCTTCAGATCCCGAAAGTTTCCTCGGTGGGTCGTTGGTGCGGATTGCAGTTGTGGAGCGTGCAGGGTGGAGGTTCCACTGAGGGTCGTCTGAGTAGGGTATGTAGATAGATTACAGTCGGAAGCGTCACGGCTTGGTTGGGTGTTGCAGTGTCACTGCTGTTCGTACACTGTGGATGGTTGTGGTATATGAGATGAAGAAGGGAAATAATAAGAAAGAAGGATTGGGCTAGGCAACAGGAAAGGGTAAAGATTTAATGCAGGCTTGCATGTCCAGGGCACTGGCGGGTTTAATTAGCTGCTAAACGGGCAAAAGAGGGAGACGGCGGAAGTTAGTTGATTAGGCGGGAAGGGGAAGAAGGGCCCTGATAACGAGGGACAGTCCAGTTCGGCTGGTATCAGACACAAGCGGCCTGAGATGCTATCCTTGTTCTAGAATGTGTGAAATATTCCATGACGATAGGTGTCAGGTGCCAGGTGGAGGATAGAAACGCTCCCTACTCCAGACTTGACCTAGAACTATCGCTCTTTTTGACGATAGCTGTGGCCAGAACAGGCAGACATTCCGGGGTTGATGCTGCTATGAGCTGGCAGTGATTTAGGGGCTCCCGCGCTAAGGGGTTCGTATCATGCAACTATTGCATCCCAGAGATATGGACAAGGAGGCCCTTATCTGGGCTGCATGGCGTCCAATCAGGGCTTATGCATAGCCAGCTGTGAAATCAAGTCTTCCCCCCAATAAACAGCATCCAACTTCACATGTCTGCTTGCCAAGTCGATATCGCTCGGCGCAGATATGCTTAGCTGAAGCTTCGCGGGCGGGCTGCACATGGCAAAACTTTTGAGATAGCGATTAGAGGCGGCGATCACCGCTTCCCTGTCAGCCCGAAGCACAATTCTTCGTAGGTTTCCGATGACGCGGGGTATCAGCAAAGTCTGGGGAAAGATAACTGCTTCTGTCATTGTTGATTATGATGATGTTTTTGAATTTGAATGCCTCAGGCTGGCAATTGAAGCTTCACAACAGACCAGCGATCGTGGCATAATTATTGCGTTGATCAGCCCAGTGCCTGTGGCCCCATGACTACACTACGGGGAATAAATCTGTGCGATGAGGCAACGGTGGCAAGTCTACATGCAATAAGCAGGATAATGATAGAGTTCCTGCGCCCTTCGGCGTTGACCGACTGCAGGCATGATATCAACACCCCCTAGCATCCTAATTGACAGTCCGGGGTGATGATAATCAACACCATGAGATAGGTGGCTATCGGGCCTGACAGAGATGGTCAGCCTCTGGGGGGGGACCAGCTGCAGGCATCGCGGTAAGCCGTACAAACCGAAATACCTAACGAACCTGAAGTGTTATCATTATCAAATCTCTCAGGGTTACGGGCGCAGGTGTGCCTATCACCAGGCGAGACCTTATCAGCGTGGGCTCCTTCGCCACCAGACCCACTCGGTCCTGGTAGACAAAGATGTCCAATCAGAGGCACACTGCTGATAATTTCTGCGATCTATGTGGTGCTTAACCATGTGCCCAGCCTCGTATCCTCCAATAACAATGATGAGGATGGGGCCATGCTGCATATAATTGGTGGCAACATAAGCTTGTGCGCACTAGGGCTAAGCTAAGACAAGTTGGCGGCGGTGGGGCCTGGAAGAAAAAGTAAACGTGAGAGTTTTTTCTCGAAACAAGAAAGGCGGACCAGGCCAGGGCTGGGACCTCCGCCGGAACACGCGACAGGAGCTGAGCCCATGGGAAGCTGTTACGCGGTCGCGGCGGCGTTTCTCCGTCGGTGCAGAAGCGATCAATCATAGTGCCTGATTCTCGTTCGGATCTCGTGGGGTGGGCCTCGTCACGGTGGGTGTGAGAAGAAATTCTCGTTGCCTCCGAACACATATTAGGAGCTCTTCTCCCACGCTCTCTTGCAGAGAAAGAAAGAAAGAAAAAAGAAAGATGTGGTTTCCGTCTCCTCCTTTCCCTTCCCTTCCCCTTCCCCCTTGAACTATACTTGGTACCTGAGCTTTACAGCTCTCGTATTCAAGAGTTCCAAAAAAGAGACTTATCAAGTCTACTTGATTCCTGACCGAGGGTTATCTTCCCAACGTCAGCACATTTTTCAAAACCTTACGCCGTTGAGATATACGCGTACCTTTTTCCATTCCAACACCATGTTCGGAGGAGTCGAGTCCGATCTCGAAAAAGCCCCCCAGGTGGGCAAAACGCCCATGGATGACAGCAGCGATGGCGCTGTCCCTGGGGAGAGTTTCATGTACGGCAATTCGCTGTACGCAAAGCTGCAACGGTTGGCGGGAAAGCTCAATATTGAGCAGCGAGGTGTCGAACGTGTCCCGGACAATGAACGGACTGACACGTCGTACTTCAATATCAGCAGCATGGTGTGTTCTTAACTCTTGTTTGCCTTGTGCTTTCGTCTTCGTCGGCTCTATCGTCGGCTGCTCCAAGACCGCCCTCCCAAACTGACCCGTCGCAGTGGCTGGCGGCCAACATGGTGAGCAGTTCTTTCGCTATCGGCGTGCTTGGTTACTCCACCTTCGCTCTCGGCTTCGTCGACGCCATCCTCGTCTGCTTCTTCTTCAACCTGCTGGGTGTCTTGACTGTCTGCTGGTTCTCCTCCTTTGGTCCAGCCTTTGGTCTGCGCCAGATGGTGCTCACCCGGTTCTGGTTCGGTTATTGGCCTACTAAGATTAGTAAGTTTTGTGTGACAGTCTGGCTATCACCATTATATGCTTATACCCTCTGCTATAGTTGCCCTTCTGAATGTTCTCTCCTGTTTGGGCTGGTCCGCCGCCAACTCCATCGTCGGCGCCCAGCTTCTCAATGCGGTGAATTCCGACGTTCCTGGATTTGCAGGCATCCTGATCATCGCCATCTGCACCCTTTTCGTCACCTTCGCCGGATACAAGGTCGTCCACCTGTACGAGTACTACAGCTGGATCCCGACCTTCATTGTCTTCATGATCGTGTTCGGATTGTTCGCCCACTCCGGTGATTTCAGGAACCTCCCAATGGGAACTGGAACCTCTGAGCTCGGCTCTTGCCTGTCTTACGGTGCGACTGTCTATGGTTTCGCCACTGGCTGGACCAGTTACGCCGCCGATTACACCGTCTACCAGCCCGCGGACCGCAGCCGCCGCAAGATTTTCTTCGCCGCCTGGGCAGGCCTGATCCCCCCTCTTCTCTTCACCCAGTTCCTGGGTATTGCCGTTATGACTGCCACTTCCATCAACGGCGGAGACAACAAATACGCCCTTGGTTACAACCAATCTGGAAATGGAGGTTTGCTGGGCGCTGTTCTTGATCCCGTCGGTGGATTCGGCAAGTTCTGTCTGGTGATCCTGTCTTTGTCCATCATCGCCAACAACTGCCCCAACATCTACTCCGTTTCCTTGACTCTCCAGGTTCTGAGTCGCTACTCCCAGCGCGTTCCCCGTTTCATCTGGGTCCTTCTCGCCACCGCTGTCTCCATCGCCGTCGCCATTCCCGGTTACTCCCACTTCGAAGAAGTCCTGGAGAACCTGATGGACTTCATCGCCTACTGGCTGGCTATTTACTCGGGTGTCGCTCTTGCCGACCACATCGTTCGCCGTGGCTTCTCCGGATACCGCCCCGAGACATATGACAAGCCCAACAAGCTGCCCTATGGTATCGCCGCTTGTATCTCCTTTGCTTTCGGTGTCGCGGGCATGCTTACTGGTATGAGTGAGACATGGTACATAGGTCCCATCGCCAAGCATGCTGGTGATGGTGATGTCGGTTTCGAGTTGGCTCTCCTCTTTTCTTTCGTCGTGCATTCCGTTCTGAGACCCATTGAGCTGAAAATGCTGGGTCGGTAAATGCGTTTCTCTTTCTTTCTTCATGTCGATTTTTCCACCTTTTCTTTTTCTTGTTGGTTAAAAACAAGGGCTTGTACTTGGGATACAGATATATGGGTTGAGCTTGGTTGTCATGTATGTCTCCTTTGGGAATCGACGATGGATGTGATGATGTCAGTTCCGTGGTACGGAACCGGTCTGGCTGCTTTTCATGATGCTGGCTGGACTTTTATGTATATAGATGTAATCATTGATTCTAATATACCATTCCGTGCAGATGTGCCGGAGATGAATGAAATATGCATAAGTGTGTTCGAGAGACATTATGATTTATTTGGTACTAAGTAGTAACATTCGAAACTAAGTCTCCTGAATCTACTCCAAGTTCTGGACTACCCGACCATAGATTATGGGTTGTTCCTTCCATCGCGAGTGACGCATGATGTTGCTCTCTTGCCAACACAATACTTCCTCAGTAGGGCTGCCCTAGAGCAGAATCCTTGAACATCTGGATAACACTGTTTCTAAACATGCGTGATCTGTTTTCCGATCTCTTCTGTCTCTGCAAGTCCTCGTTTGTCCGGATGAGGATGACGGCTTTCTCAATTTGAATGTCCTCGTTCCCGTTATCGGTGCAGCGGAATAATGCCGGGAAAATGATGACAAGGAGCTCACCAATTGGGGTTTCATCCGGCATAGTCTCAAGATTTGCTACAGTAATTCGATTATGGGTGCGGGCGTCTTGCACGGTAAACTGTTTTAGGTGGTACTTGCGTACGACTCGTTGAGGGAAGTATGCCTCGCCATGCCATTTCCACCTGTATTGCGCGGGTGAACAGCTCATCTTCGTTGCGAGACTGACAGCTGGTTCCAAGATATCCGTAGATAAATTTGCCATTTTGCTGTCCCACTTAACGTCGCACTCAAAGTCGATCCACCAAAAAAAATCGTCCAAATCAGCGATTATCTCGAAGCATTCGTTGTCGACACCCTTCTGATATCTCTGGGATGCGACATAGGCCTCTATGATGTTCGGAACCCCACCAATCACATTCTTGAACTCTATCAAAGTTAGCAGATGTGAAAACCGAGTCTGAGGCTACTATTCACGACACCTACCGTTTTTGGGCTGTAGCGACAGCAGCCCCTCACGAAGATCATCCAAGAGATCGTTATCTGATGGAGATATTCCCGGGACTAAGACCTCAAAGAGCCCCTTTGATAGGCGACAGAAAACCAGGTGCATTAGAAGTTCCGACTGAACTGCGAGAGGCCCTTGTGGATAGCTATTCGTATCTTTGGATACATGAGAATTAAGAGAAAGGTCGTTGAATGTGTCAGACAAGTGATCGGCAATGTCTTCAAGAACTTCAGGCAACTCCTCAACCCAGTTAGAGAGAGTCTCGCGAATCCTACTGAATTCTGCCAATACAGTAGCATCACTCAAGTCAGCCACAGGAGATGATCTGAGTATTCGTGCCTGACAGTCTTGTAACTGTTCCTCCAAAGTTTGGTTATGCTTCTTCAATTGGGCAATCTTCTCCTGCATTGATCTTATAACGTGTTGATTCTCTCCAGAGATACGCCTAAGTTTGGATATTTCATGGTACAGCGATTTTGATAGTTTGACCGCATGGCTGTATGATTGCTCCAAATCAACTTCATTTTCAGATTCCTTCATTCTATTGTCGGGGGCTCGAGCAGCATCCGCTGATCTATCTCGCGCTATGCGGTTTCCGTTTTCTTGGGCAAAGTTGCGAGGGTGAAGGAGAGACTTTTCCTCTTCCTTGACACTAAAGATTTCCTTCTCGTCCATTTCTGTCCCGTTCTTTCTAACTTCAGGCCACTATTGGCTTGGTGCTTAAATCGATCGAAAGAAAAGAAAGGCAGAGCAAGAAGGTGAAGTAAGTTTCTCACCTACTCTAAAACTCCCACTACACAGGAATACCAGATGAAGACTGCTTGATGAGGATACTGACCGCGAAGAAGATCTAAGAGAAGTACCCATATCAGGACACGTGCACTCAACCATTCACTGCAAAAGGTTTCCTTTACCTGAATTCCACCGAGTGAGGCCTAAGTGAAAGTTGCATGACGGATCCCTCCCTTGCAAGATCGCTGAACTTTTATACTTACCGTACTGATACTTCCCATACAGAGGTATCTCACAGACAAGTGCGATCGGATCGGCTTACTGAAGGTGAGACTCCCCTGTCATAAACATCAGGTTCCTTGCAACGATCATAAAAGCGGCAAACAAGAGAAAGACATGGCCAGTTTTTCCAGTAAAAGGACCATAGTCATTGCGGTGGACTTTGGTACCACCTACTCTGGGATAGCCTGGGCTCAAATTAGTAACGTGCGTGGGGCGCAACTAAATTATTGGAAGATATACTGATGCCTTTTCCAGCCTGATAATCACCACATAATCACAGAATGGCCGCAATATGGCTCTGACTCATGTGGTGGATTGACCAGCGAAAAAGTACCCAGCGAAGTCAGGTATGAGTATCCTCAGCACGGGAAGAAGAAATGTCTATGGGGCTTTCAAATCCTGGAGGAAATGCCACGGATTCAGTGGTTCAAAACTCGATCTTGTTCCTGATCTTGATCTTGAAGGATTAAGATCGTCTTCGACACACAGTTATTGCCGCCGAGTGCCTATTCCCTCTTCTTCATCACCCGAGAAGGTCATTACCGACTACCTTCGTTCCCTACGTGAACATGCAGTTAGAATTTTGAACTTGAGACTTGGTAGTTCAGTGGACAGTACGAACCTCGAATTCGTCATCACAGTCCCAGCAATGTGGCCAGATAAAGCGAAAATGTCAACGCTCTCTTGCGCAGAAAAAGCGGGCTTTGGAGACATGTCCACGATACACATTATATCGGAGCCAGAAGCTGCTGCCATACATTCGCTACGTGCTCCTGGACACCCTTTGGCGGATATTGGAGATACGTTCGTCCTCTGTGATGCTGGTGGCGGCACAGTAGATCTTATTACGTTCATGATCACTGGGCTTGAACCCAATCTGCGTCTAAGAGAAGAAGCACCGGGTACTGGATCCATGTGTGGCAGCACTTTCCTCAACAGGAGTTTCGAAAAGTTGCTGGACGAACGCCTCTCCCACCTCCCGGGATGGGGAAGGGACACGCTAGACGAGGCAATGCAGCGATTTGAAAGTGTCGTGAAAAGGATATTCGACGGAAGCACTGATCACGACTTTATGTTTCCTGTGCCAGGTATAGCAGATAACCAGGAACTCGGGGTCCGTCGCGGCCGAATTCGCGTTACTGGAAAAGAGATGCGGAAGCTGTTCCTGCCTTCTATACGCGATATTGAGAAACTTGTCCGTGAGCAGATCCAGACCTCTTCTGCGGAGGTAAAAGCAGTTCTTTTAGTCGGAGGATTTGGACAGAGTCCATACCTTCGCCAACATCTTCGTGACTGCTTCTCTCCGGGCGTGCAAATGATAGCACCAGTCGACGGCTGGACTGCTGTCGCCAGGGGCGCATTGGCAAAGACTCTTGGGGGTATTTCCGACACAACGGCGAAGACTTCCATAGAATCTCGCAAGGCCAGGGAAAATTAAGGGACAATTAAGATGACCAAATTCATTCATGGGGTGCATGATGAGAAGAAGAAGTAAGTAGCAACGATCCGTCTTGTGCGATCCGGTCGATTCTTTGAGTTTCGGAACTGACTGAAGACTATCGCATCTAGATACTGGTGTTACTTTCATGGTGGGGAGTATATTGATGTCATGAGATGGTTTGTTCGCAAGGTATGGAATGATCCTCGAGTCAACTTATAAACGCTAACGACGAATTCAGGGGGATGACATGGAAGAAGCGAAGGCCATCAAAACAACACGGACTAAACGTAGACGGGTCAAGGATGGCGCTTTCGACTCAATTCGTATCAGCCTATACAAAGTGGATACTGCTATAGGTGAAAAGCCACTGTATTTTAATCGCCGTGAGTCCTCTTTCACAGCTGAAAATGGTTGATCACGGAGTATTGACTATACTATCCTCAGACGTGAAGCAACATGCCACATTGAACCCAAGTCTCGGGGTTATTGAAAAGGAACGCATTCCAATTAAACGCGGTGCAGACAATGAGCTATACTACGTCGTCCGATACGAAATCCACGCGGTGTACTATTCCGCTCACTGTGTATACACACTCTGGTATGAAGGTCGCAACTATGGGAGCGTCAAAGCCGACTACGTCTGAACGTTAAGCTTCTGGATTTTTGGATGGGATCTGGTTTGAACAATCGTCGTGACCAGAAATAGCCACTCGTCTGCCATGGTATTTACAAGCAAGGCGGAAAAGGGAAGGGTTAACATGCGTCTGAGCGTTGTCATCTTGATTCAATTTGAAAGTGGAAGATCGGAATAGCTATTGAGGCAGATATTCATCTAATAAGCCGTCTAATGTGTACCTAAAATTAAAAAAAAAAAAAAAAAAAAAAAAAAAAAAAAAAAAAAAAATTATCTGCCTGATGGTAGAAAAATGTTCGTTGCATCCATACCAACGATAGCCATCATCGTTTGTATCACGTGATCCAGGTACCTAAGCACAGCCACACTTAACATGCGCCACAAGGCATTTGCCGCGCCGAACAAATCCACAACGGATCTTGCATCTTTCGCTGAAATCCAGAAATTCAGCAACAATCGGCGACATCATCAACCCCCCCATCACACACACAATGTCGAAGCTTGGAAAGTAAGCGGAAACTCCCCCCCAACCCCCGAAAATCCAGGGTCAAGAAGCGACCAAAAAAAAAGAAGACAACGAAAAGAAAGAAAATCTGACCAGGACTGTTTTTCCACTTTCCAGCCGCGCCGACTGGGCCGACGACGAGGAGTTCGACGACCCCTCCGCTCTCCCCCCGCAGCAAATCACGACCAACAAAGATGGCACGAAGACGATCGTCTCCTACCGATTCAACGACGAAGGCAAGAAGGTGAAGGTGACCCGCCGGATCAAAACGACCGTTGTTCGCGAACATGTCAACCCTCAGGTCGCGGAGCGGAGGTCCTGGGCCAAGTTCGGTCTGGAGAAGGGCAACGCGCCCGGACCTTCCTTCGATACGACCTCCGTGGGTGAGAACATTGCTTTCCGGCCCAGCGTCAACTGGAAGGTTCAGGCGGCCGAGGCGGAGAAGAATGGTGGCGAGAAGGGCAGTATGAAGGATCAGCTGAAGGACAAGAAGGTCAAGTGTCGTATTTGCAGTGGCGAGCACTTCACTGCTCGTTGTCCCTTCAAGGATACTATGGCTCCTGTCGACGAGCCCTCTGCTGGTGGTGAAGGTAGTGCTGAGGATTCTCCGGCTGCTGGCGCTTTGGGTGCTGGTACTTCTAGCTACGTGCCCCCTCATCTGCGGAAGGGTGCTGCTGGTGGCGGAGAGAGAATGGCTGGCAAGTATGAGAAGGATGATTTGGCGACTCTGAGAGTCACGAACGTGAGTTTCCCCAATTACCTCACCCTTGTCCTTGGTTTTACTGGACACTGTTTTGCTATTTGCTGGTCTCCCCGGAGGGGAGGGGTAGAGGGGACAGGGGATGCTAGATTTTCTCTTTCTGTTCCTCTCCCTCCTTTTCCTTGCCTGCTCTGACCTCTCTTTTCCCTCTAAACACTCCTATTGGTGTTGTTTTGGGAGAGGGAAAGAGAGAAAGAGGAAGCAGCCCTTTCGGGCACACACATGGATGTCATGAGAACAGCAATCAGCTTCCTCTACTTTCCTTGCTTCTATTGCATTTGGCTTTCCACGGACACATCACTGACTGACAACAAACCCAAACAGGTGAGCGAGTTGGCAGAGGAAGGAGAACTGCGGGATCTGTTCGAACGCTTCGGTCGTGTCACCAGAGTTTTCCTTGCCAGAGACAGAGAAACCCAGAGAGCCAAGGGCTTCGCTTTCATCAGCTTTGCGGATCGGGACGATGCTGCACGTGCTTGCGACAAGATGGATGGCTGTAAGTTATTCCTCCACTTCTTCATTTCATTTATTTCGTCATATTTGTTTTTCCATTGCCATCGTTGCAATGTCAGCAACAAAGCAAGTTATCGGAATCGCAACTAATATTTCCCCTTCATCTAGTCGGTTACCGTCACCTTATCCTGCGCGTCGAATTCGCAAAGCGTGCCACTTAGATTTTCTCTTCTCCAAATTTCCAATTCCCAATTTTTTCTCTCCCCACACTTTATTCTCCTCCTTATTAACTTCTTCTCTTGCTTTTTGGTTTCTCCGTACGTATCATGACATGACACCCTAGGGTCTGTTTTCGTCAGGCAGGCGGGTTTCTCCATCCATCCACACTTTCCATGGCTGAAGAAGATCTTCATCTCTCATCTATTGACTACTTTTCTTTGTATTGTATGATCCGATCGATAATGATGATTACTGAAGAACAAAAGGCATCCCAAATGTGTCGTGCGTGTGTGTGTGTGTGTCGTCTTCTCTCTTTGCTTCTTTTGGGGTCGATTTGATACACAGAAAAGCTGCGTGGTCTGGTCTTCCTTTTCCTTATTCGCGCACTACTCTCTTCCGGTTCATTGTGTCTATTTGTCATGCTGAGTTGCAAGGCAAGGCAAGGCAAGCTTACTTGCTTGTTTGCGTGCTCCTCTTTTTCTTTTTTACTTTTCCGTGCATTGATCGATCGCGGGTGGAAGTATTCTTAGATCGAGGGAGAAGGTTCAAACCCGAAAACAAAAGTATTTCAATTTGTTCGTTGGAGTCACACTACATAAGAGTGAAATAGAGTAATAAAGTAAAAAGGTTCGGTCCTGCTTACTTGGGATCCAAAGTAGTAGTACAGTCCAGGTCCTAGGACGGGGAGGAACTGGTTTTACTGATTATTAGGGTAATGCTCCCGTATGATCATCGTCCGTCAAGTATCGACAGCCTGGCTGGGGTCTACACTCAATCAGACGGTAGATAATGAAGAGCCTCCTGCTCGGTATGTCTCGGGTAGTTGGTTATTATATCCTTGCTATGATGACTCAATGCGTATTAGCTGACAAGCTTCTATGATTTGGCGGCATGTGTCAGAAAGGCCTAGATTTGAGCCACTCGGTGCGCGACAAGGCAGCATTGACTGTACTGATCAGGCTTTGCAGAGACGAGCTGCATGGTGAATAACGACCATGGGGCTACAGAGTGCGGACCAACGAGCCAAGATCATGGTCAGTCTGTAGATGGTCCGGGGGTCAGCAGCTAGTTGTCTATGAACGCCGGGGATGCTGAGATATTGGTCATGACAATTGCGAAGGGAGGCTGTGTTGTCGTCTGGTAAAGGTGGAAGGCTGCTGGCTGATAGTGTGTTTGCATGAGCTTCGTCATGAGTGTCATCGGCAAGGCAGCTCTGCATGTAGGTCTATCTAGGGAAGAAAATCGGCATGGCAAGCGGGACGACGCACTTCTCGAGTAGACCATTCCGCCTTGTATGGAGAGCATGACCAGATGTGAGATCGATATCGAGCCGCCATGACCCCCGGGCCACAGAGGACATCTCCCAGCATACGAGTGGATGCACGGGACTATTCAGAGCGTGGCGCCAGGCCAGTGGCTTTCGATATTCAATAAAATCAATTCGTTTTCGTGTAATCTTCGCTCACAGCCCGGAGCATTCGCTACTCGGAAGGATTGTGAATGGTGCTGTGTGTCCAGATGGCTGGTTACATTGCATGAAAACGGGTATGGAACGGGAAGTTGTTAACAATGGTTTTGTGTATCGTTGGGGGGACGTATCCAGCAAGTCCTGAAACTAGCCTTTCTTGGCTCTGAGACAGACGCTCTGGCTTCATTCTGTGCGACTCGAAGAGCGTACAGGACTGGCAGATGGGATCCCACTGCCTGCTCTGTGTCCTCGTGCACTTGGACATGCCAGTCCGTTGGCTGAAGCTCCATCAACGTCACCATTGCCACTACCGCTCAATCAGGCATGACGGCCGCCCTTCATCTCGTTTTCTTTGGCGCATCGGGTTTTATGACTGGTCCATCATCAGACTCCATGCAGGCATATGCCTCGCAGCCACCGGCGACTTTCTCGGTTCTTTTTCGTTGCTAGATTTATTCGTGCCGCTCTCCGTATGCTGCATAACAGGGGATACTGCTGAGGCTGGGAACACGTCAGTCATGACCTGAGAAGAGTGTACAGCTTACCTGTAAAGCCTTACCGCCATGGACTGGCGAAAGGGATAGGGAAAGATAGGGCGTCACTATTCAGTGTATCCCAGCACCACTCGCATCAATATTGGAACCAGGCTGTACTATGCACCGATGATAGACATCAACATAGACAATTGATCGACTGACTAATAGCCTAAGAAGTTGCACAGACAGGATGGATGTAGTAAAGATGCGCCGGCTTGCGGGCGCGCCCAAAGAAAAAGCTGCAGGCCTATTCGTAGTTATAGCGTGCTTTGTCGAACACCCAGATGCATATTGCAATTGGAGAGAAAGAGTCATATTGCGGAAATTAGAAACGAAAGCTCTTGTAGCTGACAAGGTGCAGGGCAATATCAATAAAGCAGAAAGTGGCCGGAGGCCGTCCTTTCACTACAGGTGCTGGCAAGACCAAAGAGAGCTATACTCACCAAGCAAAGGGTGCCTTACAACAAGACTACACCTGACCCTACCTTGACAAAGAATCCTAGTTGATGGCAACCTGGAAATCGTACAAGTGGCTGACCAGAGTCTATGCAGACCGCATCCAATACTTTCGGGTCCGAGGCTACAGCGTTTTTAGCGCAAGTTGTCGGCTATGACACGCGTTGCAGTGATACTTGTGCTCCCATTATAGTTGTTCATGAAAATATATTGGACCGCTTGTGCTCTGGGACGCCAAGAACGATCGTATCTATCAGGTTTATTCTGTACCTGTACATTAGCATGACGCGGTTGACCTTGTCGAGATCATCTTCTCGATGTGACGGTCCGTTAAAAATATTTGAATAAATGGGGCCAAATGCAAAGTGGAAACCACACTTCGTCGGGCAGCTGAAGCTGGGGCACTAAAAGCCTGCCAAGGACTCATTCAAACGTGGGAACATTAGGGGATCCCGGAAATTAAAGCCGATTGTTCTGGACTCTAGATGAGCTCAGCTGCCTTGATTGGCATGACAACCGATGTGCGGACTATCTTGATGGTCCAAACCGTAATATCGGCCAGTTGCAGATAGGAGCATGCCATGGCTGTCCCTTCGCTCCATTATGGCTTATAAAGGTAATTATTCGACTGTCGTACAGGAGTGCCGTCCGCAGAGGGTATCAGCCACCACCAGTGCGGGTAGAAGAGTCAGCAGGTGAAGAGAAGAGCGTATCGCAGCTATTGCTCCTGGAACACTGAAGATGCAAGTCAATCGGAAGTACTCCATCTGCACAAAATGTTAGCACGGGCAACC